GGCTGCCACCATTTCCCATACGACAAATGACAATTTGTCCATTTCTCTTCCTTGAATATAATCATAATCCAATTTGAATTATAATTATCTTTGCTACTACCTACTGTTTGTGGTATAATTTTTGGCTTTTGTAAGCTAATGAAGTGGAACACAAAGGGTTCGATTCTTGGCGAGTGCAAAGCTAACAGGCACAACTAAGAGATGACACAGCGAGGAAAGGCTGTGTAAGGAGAGTGCTGGCCACAGCTTGCAACACAGCGAGTTTCCATGAACAAAAAATGCAAAGTTGGATTTTATTGGGACAATTTTACACCCAGGAAAGACTTGTCATCGCTTGTAAAAATGGACACATTCCTAAGGATGCACAGCTGGAGATCATGCCTCTTTATATGTTAAGGCTTACAAATATGGCTTCCTGGGTAGAGAATTCAACTCAGCAGTATAAAGAGTAGAAAAGACTCTAGGTCGCTTAGATGGTTAGGCTGAGGAGTGGTTCTAATTGATTCCTTAATTTCTCTGATGGTCCTTACCACTTGTCCCAGTAGCTGATTATCAAATAACTACTCTGAGGCTTAATATTAATTAGAATTGTTTGGCCAATGGCTTAGACATAGTAACTAGCTCTCACAATTAAATTAACCCATTTCTAGTATTCTATATTTTACCAGGAGGCCTGGGGCTTGTTACTTCACCTCTTGCTTTCCAGGTAGCAATATGGCATCTCCCTGACTCCGCCTTCTTTCTGTCCATAACTCTGTTTGAATTTCCTGCCTAGCTATATTCTGCCTGGCCATTGGCCAAAGCAGCTTTATTCATCAACCAACAAAAGCAATACAAAAAAGCAGCATACAGAAGGACATACCACATCAGTTCCAACTTGGAATTATCTTTCCTTAGACCTCCATAGCCTCAACCCTCTGCTATATCTGTTTCTCTTTGGGCCTTCGGGCCAGGGCATCCTTAGTTACACTCTCATCTTTCTGAAGACTACCCTCCAGGTACATCCTGAGAAAGGCTCCAGAGGAAATGGAGAATTTCCCCTTCTACTTGCATAAGGAAATTGGGATTCCCCTGCTCTAAATTAATTCCTATTACAGAAGACACCAGTTTCCAGCGTTTGCAGCATGCTTTTTGGTAACTTGATTGGATCAAGAGGCACCTGGGAAACTCACAAAGCAGACCTCTAAAAGTACCTCTGTTAGACAGAGACACACACAACCACACAGACGTGACAGATACACCAAGCTCCCACAACAGACAGATGATTGAGAAGGTGGCCTTTGGGCAGGCCTAGATTCAGAGTCATGCAACAGATGGAGGACAGAAGTTGCAAGGAGAGTTAAGTAGAGAATTAAAATTTGGACTTGTTCTTCTTTACTTAATGCCACAGTGGTGCATTGCTGGTGACTAGGACTTAATCACTAATGCGTTATAATCTGAGTTTTAAATATAGTTAAACAATGTGTGCTGTAAATGTTATCTCTATAGATAACATAGTGATTGAAAGAAGTATGGAGAAATTGTCAACATAGACAGCAAGTATTGACTCATAAGACATTTTATTTGAACAGGCGTATGAGTAACCCCACTCAGTCCTTTTGCCTTACCTTTCCTAGTCACAGTAACTTCCCAGCTGGTGATTAGATTTCACTAATGCATTGTACTCTTTCTTCTACATTGAGAAATTACTCCTGGGAGCCACTGTGCAGACAGGAACTCTGTAGACCAAGACTTTCTGACTAATTGTTTTCTTTTTATGCCTTTACATTTTATGGTAAACATACACAAAATATAATATTTACCATTGTCACTATTTATGTACAGGTCAGCATTTTTCCTCTCTATCTTTCATATTTCCAACTTCCACATTTGTCCTGCTTTTTTGTAATAAAATTGACATTATTATGGAACTATGGTAGATTAACAGCTTGGCTGGTGCCTGGACTTGGTTGTTAGCTCCCATATTAGACAGGAACCTGGCTAGGGAACTCTGGACATTTTCTTGATACTCGCTGTAGGATTTAATGTTGTTGGGCCTCCCACGATGAAAATGAGGCAGCCTGGGATATTAGCTGTGGGAGAACCCCCTTTTCAGGAGAGGGCAGGTGATCTACCTCACAGCTAATCTATATATCTCTTGACCATTGCTTCACCTTGTCCATATACTATAAGTCTGAGGATATGTGTGTGTGTGTGTGTGTGTGTTAAAAAAAACAAATTACCTGGCCTGGCCACAGCTGTGGACTTGAACTGATGTGGCAGGAGCAGAACTGATCTTATCACCTTTTTTTTTAAAAAAATATTTTACCCTTTTAATTTACAGGACAGGAAAACCAGGCCTAAGAACTTAAACACAACAGCACAAAGAAAGGGCACAACATCTGTACCAAGAACCATAAACAGCAGAGCCTGTGACATCACCATGGCAATGCTCCACCAGCCTGTCACCTGATAATCCTCGTGTGTGTGTGTGTGTGTGTGTGTGTGTGTGTGTGTGTGTGTGTGTGTGTGTGTGTGAAGGCACCAGCAGTCAGAGAGTTCCCAGCTCTCCCAGGAGCTCAGCTCATGTCCTCACTGCAGACATGGCCTGTTGCCATCAGTTTGTCTATGTGCTGTCTGTCCTTCTGGACCTGCTGTCCATTCATCTGCTCACTTGTCTGTGGGAGCCTTGTTCTGGGTTTTCCCTCTACAGTCTCAACTCAGCCTGATGTTGCACTGGGCGCTGTGACAATACCTTCAGCAGATCTGATCTCCTTCATACCCCACCCCTTTGTACTCCACCAGCTTCCTCCTCTGCCTCTCAGTTAGCTCTCTTTAGAACTCACTGACTCTGCTGTGGCTCCTTTTGCCCTTTGTAGCCATTCAGTGACCTGCACACCAAATGCTTCCCCCCTTTTCTATATGTACACACACTCATGGTGATGTTCAATGTGTGATCTGAGAGTTATTTGTAGTTGGGATCAGAATAAAAAACTTAGGTTTGGCTTGACTGGTTATCAGGGTAGATTTCTTGGCAAGTTGCTGCCATTGAAGGTGGTTTGTGAATTTCTAATTCTAATCTCATGGAAAGACCAGAGTTCAAGAAAAGACATAATGGGAAGATAATTATTTTATGTGTGTTATAAGATTCTCAATAGTAATTTAATATAACCCTAAATCAAATCCATCATTCATGATGCACTCTAGATATGTGCTTAATTTGTGGTCATCGTAAAAAATAAAGTTAGTAACAATCCTTGAGAAAAGGGAAGCCCCAAAACCCACAAAGAATATTGTGTGATTCAGTTTCCAAAGTACAGATGAAATCAATATTAAGTAAGGAATTGCAGACAGAAGATTCTGTGGTGATATCTTGCTTGTATGTAAAAGGAGTTCTTAATTGGTCTAGATAATAAAAGGTTGGAGCCATCTGGGAAATGCTGAGAGATCAGAGAGAAGGAGCAAGCCACAGCACACCTTACCTCAGTGTCTCAGCAGACAAGAGAGCAAGTCCCTGTTTCTTCCTGCTTATATCCTGTTTTTGCCCAATTACCTCACTTTCTATCTGTACAGACCTCAAGACCTATATGGTTAGCTAGTGACAAGCTCCATTCTCTGACCCCCCAGACAGGCTTTATTTGAGTGAGCAAGATATCACCACAAGATTCAACACAAATCTCAAAAAGCTACACTACTGAACAACCTGCTACCATTTCATGTGGCAAAAGATATGAGACTGGCCAAAACTGGTTCATTTGATAATAAAGAAAATAATGACTCAGGACCAAAGAGGTCCTAGGAGATGCTACCTGGTTACAAAAGGGATGTTTAAGTGAACTGAGTGGACAATAAACAGATAGCCACACTATTCCTAAATACTCATCAATAAATCACAATACGTTGTGTGCAGGGACCTAGGGATCCTATGACATATCACTAAGTAATGGTTTTATGGATGGAGTCATACTTGGGGATCTGTGCACCCTGGTGGTAATCTAAGGGGCTACAATGTTGACAGGTGTGAGAATTATTAACATAAAGGTAATCATAGAAAAATATTTATAAATGCACCTGGTACTTGTAAAGAAGATGTCTACACTCAAAAATGTGTAGAAGAGGGCAAGAGAGATCACGACCATGTTCCCAGGCATCCTGCTGACCTCAGTTAAAATGCCTAAAACAAAATAATGCCTGAAGTTCATGAACAGGAGGTCAGAGCAGAGTGCTTAACCAGTGCAGGCCCTTAGATGCAGTCCCCTGCAGCAAAACACAAAAGCCAAATCAACTAACCAACAAACAAAAACACCAGGAAGGGTTTGCACTTCATAATGAATTTACTTGGTGAGAATGTGTTGCTGTAATATGTATACGGTTCAATGTTTTTTAGTGATTGCCTAATAGAGTAAAAAGAAAAACGAATGTGTTCAAGGTCTTTCTAAGTAAAGAGAAAGGTGTTGAGGTTTCACAGTTGCAAATCTGTGCAAATATTTGCTTCACCAAGTTAGGCAAATAAAATTTCTTCATTATTCATTCACATGGTGTAAGAAAAATTGCACCCTAAAAAAGACTGTGAAACAAAACAAAACATTCCTTTCTAATTCATATGGCAAGGAAATATGATGGGAGATGTCATTCTGTATATGTTTCTCATACTGGTTAATGAATAAAGCACTGTTGGCCAATAGGAAAGGAAGATAGGAGGGACTAGGAGACAAGGAGGAAATAGGAAGGAAGAAGGAGGAGTCAGCATGGAGAGACCAGGGAGACCAGACACCTGCCACACTCCCCGGTAAGGAGACCACGTGGAAATACATAGAAATGGGTTAATACTTAAGACAGAGCTAGCCGATAAGAAACTAGTACCTGGCCAACAGAATTATATCAAATACAGAGTCTCTGTGTGTTAATTGGGGCTGGCGCGGCGGCGGGACAAGACCAGGCGGCGGGCGGAAAAACCGTATTCCTTACAGAAATAAGACAGTTTTCATCCTGCCTGCAAAGAACCAACTGAAAATACTACCAACCCCCCATCAAAACAGAAATCACTACAACTTGTCAGCATTTGTCCAGGACTTTATTACTTTATCCCTTTGCCTACGTTTTGATATTTAGTAATTTATTTTATAAAAACACACTGATTATCTTTCTACTCTTTTGTTGAATAGACATTAGCTTGCTATATTCCCATTGCCATAACCAAACACTACAGGCTGAGATGCCTATATGCACAAAGGACAAGAAGGACAGCTAATCAGTCTTGCTCATTGATGGCTGCTAGTGCCCAAACTACATTTTAAACATCAATAGTACTTAAACATGTGAAAAAAAGCTTTAACATGACTCTAAACTTAGGTTCATGCATTGGTGTGTTATTTGTCTCCGTATACATTACTTCATTTTGGTTTTGTGGCCCACAATTGCTTCAAATTGAATGTTCTGTATACGACTTATAGCTTTTAAGGCACGTTCAGGAAGAAATCTACATTTAGAAAAAAAAGACAAGAAATTTCAATTAAAAATTTAATACTAGTGTCCCCTTTTTGTGACTATTTAAAAGAGCCCTGAAGCTTACCTGACCCTCATTTAGTTTTCCTCTGTTCTCTGTTTCTTGCTTAGTTTCCCATACCCTCCATCCACATCTGCACTGATCTATAATATATTATCACTCTTTCATAATAGTAAAATTGTATGAGATCTTATATCAACAATGATCTAAAACCCAAGCTATGAGCTCACTGTAGGGTTGGTGAATTCTGGTGGAAAGAATGCAGAATCCATTGCACACACCCTTTCCCCTCTTACATTCAGGATACTTATTACTTCATAAAAAACAAAAAACAAAACAAAAAACTAGAGATCCTTTAAAAAGCTATTGCCTTTGATCACATGGCTGTGCCAAGCGCTAACACAGCCAGCTGGAAACCATCAGCTGTCTCTAATAAACTGTGTAGGATTTCCATGGGCTGAGTGTTTAAGCTTGCTGAAGGGTTAGTTCGTCAACCCAAGTTGCCAGGTGAAGGAAGAGCACAAAGAAAGTCATATTTCAAATCACATTGCTATTGTTTGCTAATGCAAGATTTACTTCCCTGTCAGCTCGAGGGTAGAGGGTGGGAAGATGGGGAACGAAATGAAGGGGAGAGGATGCTCAGGCTGGGAGAAGGACAAGGGTAAGAAGAGAGCTACTGAGGGGCCTTTAAACAACTCACCCAAATACTAGTGATTGCTTCTGATCACAAAACCATCTCTCCCTAAAAGGAGTTAAATGCAAAGGGCAACAAAAAGCCCTGTTGCCAGAGCAACAAATCACACTGAGAGCTCCACAGTGAGGGAAAGGCTTTGAGCCTCCACCTTGTTCATGGGTTCTGCTTTCAACCCAGACAGAGCCATCAATCATATTTATATCACGGTCATATACATGCCTGGGGCTTTTCCCACTCCAAGAGACTTGTGTGGAGGAAATTTGTCATCTTTGGGGCTCATGAGCCTGGGAAGGAAAAAAAAGTGACTCCACACCAAGGTTCTTGGATTGCAAAGGAAGTGACATAAAATCATATGGGAGTGGGCTGTGACACACTTCCGATGCTCACCGTCACAAAGAATTGCAAAAGTTGAGCACCATAGGATCTGGGGAGATCAGTACACAAACATGGGGATCCGAGTTTAATCCCCAGAAGCCACATAAAAAGCTGGGCATGGTGGAAGGCATGTAACCCCAGTATTGTCGGATATGGGGCCTGGTACATCCCTGCTCCTAGACAATGTTCCTGCCTAATTGGTGAGTAAAGGTCTCAATGAAAGACCCTGTCTCAAAAAAAAAAAAAAAGAAAGAAAGAAAGAAAGAAAAGGAGAAAAAAGAAATCCTGCCTCCACATATGCACTGCACACATACAGTGAATACACACACAGACACAGCATTTATCATGGATGTCTCCATTTAAACTGTCCTTCAGTTTGAATATTCTTGAGAAAGTCTGGGCAGAGACAGGAGATGTATTCCACAAAGAGAGTCAGAATCAAGGACTCATTTCCCCCCTCCTGAATGAGTAAGACAGCTGTAACATGGGAAACTTAATTTTCACTCCAGGCAAGGAGAGTTTCCATAGCAACACTCACATCTGAAAAAAATCTGTCTGTAACAACATTTCTATTTGTGTTTTACCATTCAGGGCTCTACGCTGTACTTACTTTTCCAGTACTAGAGAAATACTGATATAGGATGGAACGAAGATCATCTTCTTGTTGGTTAGTATTCCATCTATCAGACTGCTTGCCACTTCACTTGTCTCCAGTACAGGCCACAACCTGATGGGAAGCGGGGGGGGGGGGGGGGGGTTAATCCATGTTTATCCTGCATTTCTTCATTTGGTTGATGGGATTGGACCCAACTGCACACATTCAAAGCATGTGCTCTACCATTGGAGTAAAAACCCAGCAGCTCCCCTCCCCCAATCTTTTATCATTTTAAATTAATGAATGAAGGAAATTAAACTCTCTTTACCAAATTTAGAATTAGGATTTAAAATCCTTCAGCATTCCCTGTATGAGTGTCACAGGCCCCCTTCCCACATTGTTGTAATTTTAAAAGAGTGGCTGGAGAAAGGCGCCATGCAACAGAGTTCAAGCAGAGTGGTTTTTTATTAAGGGAAAAAGATCATTAAAAAAAAGGAAAGGGGAGAGGGAGACCTGCCTCCAGGGGCGGGGCAGGAGCAATGGGAAAGAGAGGAAAGAGGGGGAAAAGAGGAAAAAGAGAGGAGAGAGAGGCAGAGAGAGAGAATAACAAAGAGAGGAGGGGGTAGGAAAAGACAGAATAACAGAGAGGGGGCGGGCAGGGCCCTTTTAAAAGGGAACATTGTGAATGTGCACAGGTGGTGCTCTTAGTGACTGCAGATGAGGGCGTGTCCTGTCAGAACTCCGAGGGCAGGCCAGTACAGATGCCTGAATGCTAACACATATCCCACTCTGATATCTTATATTCTTATACTTTCAGGTCCAGTGTGTGTGTGTGTGTGTGTGTGTGTGTGTGTGTGTTAGCTCACAGGTCAAAACAATTAAATCATAACAAGGTACAAGATGGGAAGTAACAGAGAAGTAGAGACAAAAAGATATGCAGGATGAATCTCCAGGCTTGTTGGGTGTAAAGAGAATACTCTGCGGCTGTGTGTGGGTATTCTGTAGAGCTGCATTGTTTTGAGGTGTTTAGTAAGATTTGCTTCTCCTTCAGTTTTATGGGGACTTAAGATTTGTATGTTATAGTTTTTTTGTATTTGTGGTGCTACATGTATGTATATGTGTGTGCTGCACCTCATGGCATGGCATTCCTTGATCCAAAGGTCGTGCCTATGTGTCATTGCCCGATGGAGAGTTTTGCCCACTAATGGAGATGATAAGAGAAAAATCAAAGCATGAAATGGGTATAAAATGTCACAACAAGGTTAGCACACCTAGGTGTGGCTGAGTGAATGTGAGAACTTAATTCCCTGAGACAGCTCAAGGTTTCTGAAGGCTCGTGTGTGGGATGTTTGTATTTTGGACTAGCAAACCACCACACAGCAATGGAAATCAGTGCTTTTTAGATTTTTGGGCTCCATCTTTTCCCTTCCTAATTTTGCAGTGGAGTTTTCAACCCAGATTTAGAGACACATCTGACACGAGCACCCTAATGTCAGTTTCAGTGGAAGAAGTTCAGGGTTCAGCAGCCTGAATGGGAACATTCCCGAGTCCTGGGCACGGCTGTGTCGGCAGCTACAGTTGCTCCAGAGCCAATCTAACTTATTCCTCCCCAAGGTGTCTTCCCCTGGAGTGGCGGGCACTCCTGGCAAAGCACATCGGACTCCAGCTGAACACTTGCCAGGATTTTCAGGATACCCCCTCTCCCAAGTAAGAAAGCTGTTAGGGGTTGAGATGGTGGCACTGGGCTTACTTACATAAAAGTGACATACTTGTTATGTACCTATGACCTACTCAAGACGTTACTGTCTGGGAGGGTCCAGCTTACCTTGTACTTGGGTTTTTGGTGAAGCCAGTATTCACAAACACAGGGCATAGACATGAGGTTTTGATACCAGTTTTCCCTAAGGTTTCAAGTTCTGCAGTCAGTGCTCTGTGGAAACCAACTGCAGCAAACTTGCTAGAGCTGTGAGAGAAAATCAGCCATCAGAAAAGTTGGGGGACAGTCCCAGCCTCCTGTGAGAAGACAGCTTCATTTGTTTAGGGCAAGAAGACTCCCCAGCCTGCTACTTAGTTTTTCTGAGATGGTAAATGAACATTCATTGTGTTTTCTTGTGTGATTAGTCAGGATTCTGAACATGCCCAGTACCTTTGCATTTTGGGATTCAGGGGATTGAACCCAGGGATCTGCACATGTGTTCAACTGTCACCATAGCCCAGGGCTGTGTTCCTATTTTCTGACTAGCAAGGATAGCAAAATAACCACTTTACCGACAGGCATAATGTTTTCCATGCTAATGTGACCTTTTCTATGGTCCAGTCAATCTTACAATGTTTCTTAACCTGATTTTATTACTGTTTCTTTTCTTTCTTTCTTTCTTTTTTTTTTTTTTTTTAGACAGGATTTCTCAAGACAGGGTTTCCTCTGTGTAACAGCCCTTGCTGTCCTAGAACTTGCACTGCAGCCCAGGCTGACCTCAACTCACAGAGATCCCCTGCCTCTGCCTTCCAAGTGCTGGGATTAAAGGCACGCACCACCACCGCCTGGCTTATTACTGTTTTTATCGTTAAAAATATGAATTTGGAAAAGCCATCAAAAATACTCTGAAACTAATATTGACAAAATTTTGTGGGGCTGTGCACATTTCTCCTTTCTTGACTAATGGGCAGATGGTGTTTCTCTTGACAATGGTAGTCTCACTTGCTTCTTAATTCCATTGAGTATTTGGAGTTAAAGGATTCAAGACAGTGTTGGAGTCATTGGGTTTATATGTGGAATCTTTAACACCAGATTCTATGTTGCTTTGTTTCTCCTATTATAAAATGTTGATAATAAAATATAAAGCTGTTAAATTTAGCTTTGAGTGTGCATATAAAGAAATAAACAACATTTTCATCCATTGCATTCAATTATTGTGGTAAAATTGTTTCTGGGATTGTTATACAGAAGCAGCAGGGAAATTATGTGCCACCTTCAGAGTTTGTTGCAGATAGATGTGTCTGTGTCCCTTGGACATGGTGTGTAGTGTCTGTGTCTCCTGGTGAGGTAGAGCCATTCCGTATTCTTTCTCTCACATATGTATGTTCCTAGGCCACAGGCATGCCTTTTAGCTTCTGTGTGCTCTGTTTCCTAGTCTGTCCTGTTTCTTGTGTCAACACCCACTCATTCTAGGACACAATGGAAACACAGTGTATGGGGGAATTTCCAGAAGTCTAAACATTTTAAAATAAAATTAGAAGCCAATTTCCTTGTTTTAGAAGTCATTTAAAAGTTACCCTAACCTTCCATGTAAATTCCCTACATCCAAATTCCTAAGCCGTGGGCCTAAAGACTAATAATCAATCGAGAGTCCAAAAAATGCATAGCACGGCTGGTATTGCTTAGTACCTACCAATATGGGATGAGATAAGGAATCACTCCGTGGCCACACACTGAGGCCACTGTGACAATGTGGCCGGAGTTTCTTCTTAGCATCGATGGGAGAAGTGCTTTTATGATCTTAAGGTCCATGTGAAAGGAAAAGAAACAACGACACAGGCGTTAGGCAGATCCCAAATCAGGCCATCTCATTTCTGCTCAGGTGGAGGCATTGGAAATGAAATGCTCGTGAGACTCTGTGGTCCCGGCCACACAAATGGTAGAAAGGGAGTGTAAACATGATGGTTTGGGACAGCACCAGGAGCTGTATCCTTTTGCTCATGTACCAAGAAGCTGTGTCAATGTGCCGCTTCTTCCCTTCAGAAGGAATTAAGCAGCTCCTTCCAGGACATGCCATCTAAGCAACATTACTATCATTTGTATAGTGCTACAGATTAACCAGAGGACTCTGTGAATGCTAGGCAAGCACAGAATTGCTGAGCTCTGAGCAAGATTGTCAAGGGATAAATCCACAGGTGTCACACCTGAAGGGCAATTGGGCATTTTACAAGTTCTTGGTTTCAGTTAGAAGGATGGGAATCTATTCATATAACACAAGCTGAGTTCTCTCCTTGTCCACAGTCCTCACCCAAATCTCTTTCTTGTAGCAGTATATATTATACACTGTTATGGGAAACAGAAGATTCTTTTTTTTTTTTTTTTTTGGTTTTGTTTTCAAAAGAAAGATCACTGTATAGTGAAAAATATCAATTAACATGTTATGGGAATTTTATAGACCTATTCTTCAAAGTCTATGCAAATTCCTAGAGTCTCAACGGCCAAAACAAACCCCCAACCAGCTCCAGCCTACAGATCTGTGAGGAGATAATGAACATTCATGGTCCATCCAAATCCCTATCTTTTGATATATTTTGTGACATAGACATGATTTGCTATTAATTATTAGATAACTAATATATGAGATCTCTGTGGAGTGTGAGTGGCATGATAGCTGAATCACAGTAGCATGCATGAAGGGCTGAGGAAGGACGATCTTCGAATCCAGGTTAGCTCCAGATGCTACACTAATATCAAGGCCTGTGGTGGTGATATTTCATTTATGACCTAACAAATAAAGCTTGCCTAAAGATTGGAAAAGCAAAGCGGCCAGCCATTAGAGCATTCTCAACTCTACCAGTGTTCAGACTGAAGGGTGATCCACCCAACCTCAGACTGTACTTCCAGACTGTTCCTCAGCCTCACTCAGACTGCCCTGAGCTCCTGTCTCATATTCCTCCCTAGTGCTGGGATTAAAGGCCTGGGACCTCAAGTGCTAAGGTCACCTTTGTGTGAGCTCTGTTTCTCACTCAGACAAATTCAATCTTGTGTAGTACAGGGTAGCACTCTGTCTCCTGAGTGCTGGGATTAAAGCTGTATGCCACTACTGCCTGGCCTCCTTGGCTGTGGCTAGCTCTGTACTCTGACCTTCAGGCAAGCTTTATTTGTTGGATCATAAACAAAATATCACTGCAATTCCTCCCTTTTTGTCTAAAACATAAAAGTTCATAACTAATCCAAGAAAAACTATATGCAATGCTCTCTGGATGGAGAGTCACACTTCATTGTCTCACAAACAACCAATAGTAAGAAATGGCCCAATTCACATTTCTATGCTCCAGCATTCTGTGGATCTAACACGCATGTTCAATCCATAGCCCAGAGGCTGCATATAGCTGAGATTAGCTATGAATGCAGACTACTGAATCTACTGAAATACTCTGAGATTTTTATTTTATTTTTGTAACTTGATTGTGAACTTCTTAGCCATGAACTTTATAGATGATAATGCCAACTTATTCAGAACATCACACCAAAAGTGTCCCCAACCCCTGCATAAATCTTTTTAGTTACTTCTATATCCTTTTAGCTCTAAACATCTATGTGAGGAGGCCACAAATGGATGCACATGTTATATATTTCCTCTAAAACACTACAAAATATATTTTGTAGACCTAGCACATGCCAGGCTCTGTGTTAGATTCTCTTTGACAAAACAAAACAGATGGCTTTCATTTGGATGTACCAAGTCCACTTGAACTTGGAATCCTGCTGCCAGAGATTCTGTGGCTTCTCTACTTAAATGCAGTACACCATTCCTGACTTAAAACAACAACAATGACAACAAAACCTTTACCTTTTCCCACCCCTACATATCGTGAACTCAATGAGTTTCCAGCCCTGAGGAGATGCCAGACACATACTAGCCACAAATGTTTCTGACTCACTCACCCAAAAGTGCCCTAGGATGTTGACCTCGAAGGTTTTGGTAATCTCCTCATCCTTGGTGCTAAGTAGGTCAGCTGGGTATATTGCCCCAGCGTTATTTACCACGATCTCAACATCACCCACTTCTTTCTTTACCTTTAAAAATGAGGAGAATGCACACAGGGTCAGTTACTCTCGCAAGGTCCTGGGGCAAAGGTGGTAATGAGAGACACACAGACATCCCAAGTCACAAAACCACGGCTGACTACCAAGAGGTAGGACTGAGATCCAGAGAGACTGTCTTTGTCTACACCCACTGCCCATAAAATCTGATGGCTGGGGATGACAGGGAAGACGGATACCTATGATACCAATCTGCAGTCTGCTCAGGGTGCCAGCTATCCGGGTAAAGAACAGACTTAAGGTGCAATTTCTGTCTGTGCTCACTGGCTTTGGTGACACCAGTTTGGTCACAATACCATCTAGGTATTAGGGTATCATTATTATTATTATCATTATTTATTTCTTTCGATGCATGAGGTCTTTCAGAGTTCAGACATGAAAGAATTGGCTCAATCAACAACACAAAAGGATAGCTGTCATTAGGTAAGAAAAATAATTTTGGGGAAAACCTATAATTTTGGGCTCAATAAAGCATGGGTAGTATGAAAGCTTATAGATTTAAGATTTTAAATAAACAAGAATTAATGTTTGTGCTGGTAAACTAATACTTCAGTTCTGACAAAACATTTCTGGAGTGTTAAGTAATTAATCTTGCTTCTACCACCCAAGGCCACATGATCTTTGTCTGGGCCAAACCTTTCAAGTATTATTATTTTTTTTTTATCTGTAGAGAGGCTAGTGTGATTTTAAAGTTAGATTAAAGAAGGTGGCAGCTTATCAGAGGGTTAGGTTCACTGTAAGCACGAGATGTTTACTTTTTCTTTAAAAACTGGTTATAGTGGATGGTAAGTGTGGAAAGGCATTTTTATTTGCCAAACAGGACAATCCCAGGACCCATGTTGTGGAAGGAGAGAACCTACTTTCAAAAGTTGTCATCTGAATTCCACATCCACATTGTGAGGTGTGTACACACCCCCAACATGCACACATGCACACACATATACATGTACACACAGACAAAATAAAATGTTTAACTGTCATTAACTGTATGTTTTCCATAAAAGACTATATTATACACAAACCAATAAAATCTCAGAGAGGAAATGAAGAACTAGTAGAAAAAAATGTACTAAAAAAAAAGTTAGATAGGGAAAATTTCTGCAGATAAATCTTCTGTCGTAGCTGGGGGTGGTGGTGCATACCTTCAATCCCAGCACTGAGGCAGGAGGATCTCTGTGAGCTCTAGGCTAGCCTGGTCTATAGAGCAAGTTCTAGACAGCTAGGGCTACACACAGAAACCCCCGTCTCAAAAAAAAAAAAAGACCAAACAAACAAACAAACCAGAGAAAGAAAGAAAAGAAAGGAGAAAGGAAGGGAGGGAGGGAGGGAGGGAGGGAGGGAGGGAAAGAGGTTGGGAAGGAAGGAGGGAGGAAGGAAGCTGTCATTTTCTCTGGACTGTTGCTCAAACTTCTGGTCAGAGCAAATTTGATTCATAATATGACAGTCACAGAGCTCAGAGCTGAGGATTTTAATACCCAGAAAGTCCTACATATTATGTTCTGCTTGGGCCACACAGCAAATTTACTGAGCACCTGGTGGTGTCTGGGCAGCCCTGGAAAACTTTTTCATATCCCAGCTCACTGCCAGCTGATACACACACGGTTCTACCAGGCACCTGCACCTGGTTCTCACCTGATCTACAGAGTTGTAAATCTCCATCCGATTGCTGCAGTCCACCACGAACACATACACAATGGCCCCCAGTTTCCTGCATTCGGCTGCAGTTTCTTCAACGCCACGCTGTGTGAGGAGGATGGGAGGGAGGGAGGCAAATTCAAGGAAAGGTAAGCACCTGAGGAGAAATACTCCAAAATCCTCGTCTGATAAGTCTCTTTAAGTGCTAGGGAATTTCTTGAACTAATTAGCCATTCTGTTTAGGGCTTTTGCAGCTTTCCATCCTGGCCTGAGGCTTGCATATAGTGATTCATCTAGAGGGATACTGTTATAGCATGAAGGGTATCCTTGATGTACTTGAAGATGCCACTCCTCATAATGTCAGGGAAGATGTCTGAGGGCAGAAGGAAGGCTGTTCTGCTTCTTCAGCTCGCACTCGGGACTATCAGCCATTCCTAGCAGCAAAGTGCTGAGCAGTGTCTAACCAGCAGGGATTCTAGATGGTCTGCCTCTGCTGACCCACCTCTCCTCATCCCTCTGGTGTGAGGAGAGGAGAGACTCCTATCGGATAGAAGCTTCACTAAGTCACCAGATGATCTACTGGTACTTACTCTTCTGGTACTTTGAGCAAAAACGCCTACAGCCAATGTTAGTTTGATATTGTGCACGAGTCTCAGACATGGAGGCAGCTTATTTTTAGCCTAAATTTGAAGGTCTCTTGTCTGAGATGAATTGTCTTAACGCTGTGTGTGTATGTGTGTGTGCGTGCATGTATTTTCTCTGCTGTTGTTTTAAAGCAGTTGTCACTACTAATCCCTTTCGTACTACATGAACCCCAGGCAGATTTCCAACTCCAGCCTGTTTTCCTGCCTCATCCCCCAAAGTGTTGCAATTACAGGTGTGAGTCACTACCCTTGGAGGTCTTAATTTGTTGTTGTTGTTGTTGTTTTTGACCTTCATTTCAGAAAACATAAATTCTTTCCAAGTTTGGACATCTGTTGATTTTATAGGGATTATCATGAGGTTTAAAATAATTTTTTGAAATTATACCTTTTCCTCTCCTGGCTGTTCCCACTTCTCTGTGATGGAGAGCGAGGATGATTGAGAAGCCCTTTCCTGTGCACTGGGAAGGGAGTGGCTTCTCCATCTCGTGGGGCCATCTCCAAGTGGATGTGAGGGTTTGGTTTAGGCTGGCTGCCTTCCTTGGGCCCTCTTTGCATTTCTCCATCTTGGGCTAAACCATAGAGCAGCGACCGAAGTCTCAAAAAACAGACTTTAACGAGGATTAGGATGTCACTGCAAAACCAACTGTCCCTTCAGATGGTCTCGGGGTGGGCTGTAGCACAGAGCAGTGGTTTGGGTAGGAGAGTTTCCACTGCCTTTGGCTTCAGATGGAAGCTTGCCTACTGCCCCTCTCGCCACACCGTTTCTCCAGATCTGAGGTCTGTAGAGATGGGCAGTGACCAAAGCTCCAAGCAGGTGCCTTGACTGATGAAGAAATGATGTATCTCCGTTCCCTTTCTGGGCAGCACCTCCACCCGCAAGCTGTCCATGCCCCTGTAATGAGCCCACATCCTAGCTAGCTCATGGTAGCAATCCTAATTAAACTCGTTAGCTCATACACAAACACAAGACATGAGAGTAGAAGGGGGCAGTTAGAGTGGGAGGAGCAAGAGATAATGATGGGGGAGGGGTGCATATGATCAAATTATACAAGTTCATGATGAAATCCACTATTATGTATGACTAATATTTGCTAGTAAGAACTTGTAAAACCCCTCTGGTCTTACTATTGATTTGGAACATGGCAGAGTATAACTCTTTGTCATTTTTGCATATGAAGAGCACCTTCTGTGTGGTCAATTCTTCTGTGCCCTGCATTTTGATAATCTCGGTGTCTTTTTAAAATTAGTGTACAAAATAGCATGTTTCATGAAGGCACGCACACACACACGCGCACACACACGCGCACGTGCACACGCACACACACATGCGCGCGCGCACACACACACACACACACACACACACACACACGCACACGCTACTTTGACAGTTTCCTTGCTTGCTGTCCTCCCCTATTCTCTGACAGCCTCTCTCTTTTGTCTTTTGTTATAATTCCATCTGTAGCCAAGGCTGGCTTCCAGCTTGCAGCAACCCTCTTGGTTGGCTCCTCCATTGCTGGGACCATAGCAGAGTGACCATGCCTGGCAGGTCCTTCCCTTTGTGAGCCTGGCTAGTTTCAGCTGACATTATGACCTTCAGTTTCACCCTCTGAAGTTTTATAACAATTGTAGAGGTTTTTTGTTTTTTGTTTTTTGTTTTTGTTTTGTATTATGTGACTTGCCTAAGTTCAGCAGCGTGGGAGCTTCCTGGCTCCTGTATCTCGTTTTCAAGTTGTACACTATGGTAGAAACAAACAAAACTAAAGCCTCCACAGCTTAGTCTTCCAGCTTATTCATTCCATTTATTCAACCTGTCGCACAAATCTAGCAAGGCCCTGGGGGATTTATTAAAACTTTGAAAGAGGAAAACAAGAAGAAAAAGCTAAATCAAATAACTAAAGCAATACACGAGTTATTAATTTGTGACTTTAAAGGTTGGCAGAAACATGCATTACCTTATTGATGTCCCACAGGACCAATCTGCTTTTCCGCTTTGCAAATTCATGAGCGGTCAGCCTGCCTATTCCATGTCCAGCCCCGGTGATGAGAACGATCTGTCCAGCCACAGATTTTCTTCTCCGGGGAATGAAAAACATTACCAGTGACTCCAAGTAGGAGTAGATGATGATGCCTGCCAGCAGGAGAAGTTCTAGAACAATGTGCATGGTTCTACACCACCCTTTCCCTTGGGCTCTGTCCTCGAAACAGACAACTCTGCAGAGCTCCACAGTGCGTCCTGCCTGTCAGGTATTAAGGGCTGCAGGAGGTGAGGCATGCTTCGCCTTTCACCCCTGACAAATCAGGTACGCCTCTGGTTTTTGAAATGATGCCAGTTTCTAACAGAAGCTCAGTACAGGTCAGGGAACCCAGCAGCCGGTGCCCTTTGGACATGCTTATCGGAAAAGCGGTCATGTTTCAACACTAAAGTTCACCTCTCAAAGTTATTCCGGAAATATTTTTATCATTGGGGAGAGAACTGACTGTTTCTTATAACCTTGGCATTGCCATGCAAGCTTCATGGACTGAGTCTGATCCCCAGAATCCATAGATGAAGTAGAGAACCAACTCTACACACACACACACACACACACACACACACACACACACACACACACACACCATAAAATAAAAATGAGGAACCTAAAACATGATTTCACAAAGCCTAGCTATTCCACTCATGTATTCACAGAAGTCCTTCCTCTCAGAAGCCCAGAGGTAGAGAAGAATGTTAGCTTTATAGGAAACTGTTCTCTCCATGATAGCACTGGGAAAATCAGTAAACCAGGTGTCGTAAATCTTAACTTAAAAGTGCTAGGACTTCTGTCTGAGCCCAAGCTGTGTAAACAAATACTGTGGGCTAGGTGGCTTATTGCTGAGTTCTAGAGGCTGTGTGGCCCAAGGTGTAAGTGGGTGGCATGCTGAGTGGGAATCGGCTTCTTGGTTTACAGACAGCTGTCACTGTCATTGCACATGACAGAGGAAGGGGATTCTCTGTGGTCACACTTATAAAGGCCATAGATGGCCATTGTGACTTAATCACCTCCCAAAGTCCTTACATCCTATTTCAGTGTATGAAATTTAGGGGGACACATCCAAGCTAGAGTCATTTCTAATAATCAAAAAGTGGAAATAACCCCTGTTCATCAGTGCATGGGTAAATAAGACTTATCGGCCATGTATGCAATGAAATGATACTCTTCCTTTTCAGGAAGAAATTCAGATGCATACTACAAAATGATGACCCTATGTGATAGTATGCTAAATGAATACTCCAGACACAAAGGCACCCATGTTATGTGATTCCTAAGATAGTCACACAGAGAGAGATGGCAGGATGACGGCTGACAGAGGTGAGGCTTGAGGGGGATGGGTGTTATTTAATGAGCACTGGTCTCAGCCCCAGTTGATGAGAGTTCTGAAATTGACCATGGTCATCGTAGTGTCTGTGGTGATGGCTGTACAGCCATGGGAATGCACTTAATGCCACTTAAACTAGACATTCAAGTATGGTCAAAAAGGTAAACTTTAGCTCAAGCACGTGTGACCAGCCATCCCGTTTATTTTCTCTGTGTTCCATTCTCCTTATCTAGACCATAGCTGCAAGAATAAAGCATGTCTTATCAATCATGAACCTTTAGCACATATCATAAACTCAACTGTCTCCCAGCCACCACACACATCCACACCAGAGCTGTCTGAAGCTGGGTGCATGGCACTTCTATAATTCCAGCATTCAGGATGTGACAGGAGGATTGGAAGTTCCAGACAAGCAGGAGTAACAATGAGACTCTGTACCTCAGTTCACAAAGCTCCACAACAAAGTCAGTTATCAACAACAAAGAAGGAAAAGAATGAAATAAAAAAAAATGCATGCACGTGGACACATGAACACACACACACACACAAGAAACCTTGTTACAGGAATCAAATAACTAGAAATGGTTTGAATTTACTAAGCACATCTTTAGGCATACATTTATTTACTCCTCACAGGGTGTGTTTGATGAGGTATTATTAAAATCTGCAGTGGGAGCTGGAGAGATGGCCCAGTGGCTAAGAGTGTGTATTGTTCTTGCAGAGGAACTGAGTTCAGTTGCTAGTGCCCACATCTAGCAGCTCACACTTGCCTCTAACATCAGCGCCAGGGTGATCCTATGTCTCTGACCTCTCTATGAACAAGCACCCATTTATATGCCTGCCCCCACACACAAATTCACAAAATTAAAAAATGATAGAAATAAATATTTAACATCTGCAGGAACAGGTGTGGTGCTGTATGTATGTATGGTGTGTGATTCTAGTCCCAGCACTAAGAATATATGTATGTATGTATGTATGTATGTTGCCTGAAGTCCTAGCACTAGGGTTGCAGAGACATGCAAGGGACAGTATGGTCTACCTCCTGAGTAACCTAGAGTAACCAGGAGTAACACAGTGGGACTTCATTTCAAACAAAACAAAACAACAACAAACAAAACCTTTTTATTATATGTTTTGGAGCTGGAGAGCAGGCTTAGATGATAGGGGCACCTGCTGCCCTCCCAGTTCAGTTTTAAGCACCCACATTTGGCAACTTATAACCTGAAACTCCTACTTTCAGGGATCCGATGCCCTCTCTCGTCCCTGCTCCCAGCACTTAAACACATGTGTCACACACACACACACACACACACACAAACACATAAGTAAAAACAACAAATCTCTCTCTCTTTTTTAAATCTGCAGTGACTAGAGAGATGGCCAATTAGTTAAGAAGTTGCTCTTGCAGAGTACCTGGGTAGCTTACACCAGGTAGCTCACAGTCTCTTGAAACTCCAGTTCCAGGAAATCTGGTACCCTCTTACAGCCTCCTCTGACACCTGCGGGGACCAGACCAGAGGACAGATGCCATCCAAGCTCACACACCCCTCATATACTTCAGAAAGACAGCCTTAGATTCATAGTGGGACCTGCATTTTACTTCTATATGACATGTGGTATCCAAGAATTGAGAAACACCAAGAAAGTGCGAAGCAGTTACATCTTTCCCAAATAGCTGGGATGCTGCAAACAGTCAATCTGAGATGGACTCTCTCCTTATTTTCTATGGGCCAGAACATTTATGTTCTTCATACACCAGATTTTAACTGTTAGAAAAAGACCTGTGTGCATCCTGATTGAAAACCCTTTTATTCGCCAGGGTTGGTGTCGGGAGAGATTGTGTAGTTTTGTTCTTTTGGAGACAGGATTAACTATGTAGCTCATGCTGGGCTCAACTCATGATCTTTCTGCCTCAGCCTCCTGAGTTCTGGGATTACAGACACACACCACCATTCCAGGCTGTATATTCTTACAAAATCATTGCCTGCAATATATTTTCATTGCAAGTTTAGTCTGGTCATGATTTAGATCAGTTATTGGCTTCTGACTTGAATCTGGAAGCTTAAACATTAATTTTCTTCATAGCATGTTCCAGGGCAAGTTACCCTGTAAAAATTTATCTAAGCTAGAACCATCTCCATCATTTAGAGTCTTATTAAACAGAAACACAGGGCTATGGTGGCTCATGCTGAAGGCACTTGGGAGGCAGAGGCAGGTGGATCTCTGTGAGTTTGAACCCAGCCTGATCTACAGAGTGAGTTCCAGGACAGGCTCCAAAACAATACAGAGAAACTCTGCCTCCAAAAAAAAAAAAACAAACAAACAAAATCACAAACAGCATTCTTCCTCGACCGGAAAAGGCTCTCCTTGCATTTCCTCCTGCCCACAGGTAGTTTGAGGCATTCTTGATCCCTGGAATCTGGTCCACATAATACAGCCTCACTTCTCCAGAGTGCCAGGCCCCTCAGTCCAAAAGCGGCATGATTGGTGAGCTTCTCCCCATCTCTGGCTTTTTTCCCCCAAGAGTGAGGACTTGTCTCTTGGTTTCTTGCCTTTGGCCTAATTAAGCCTTGGTATCAGGCAACCACAGCACTTTAGGGCTCAGAACTCTTGGTCCCTGCCCTGCCCTTTGCGTGATGACCCACTGGGCAGCCTGTGCCTGTCTCGTTTCTCAGACCCACAGGTCCTTTGGCCTCTGCCTCTTGATTGATGAATCACTCAGCGGCTTATGCCTTTCTTGAGATCCTCACTTGATAAAATGCCATTGGATCTCATATTCTGTCCCTCAAGAGGAAACAAAGATCTGCTTCCCTGCATTTTGTAATCATTTCATGCTGGGACCCTACCCACCTGCTACACCTCCAATAGACCTGCTCTCTTTCACCTGCAACAAATCTACTCTCTTGTTTGCTGATGGCTTTGCCTTTCATTCAGTAACAACAATTGGGTCTCTGGTGGGGTTATCCACTTCTGATCTTCTGATCATTCCACTGAACGTGAGGCTTCCTTTCTTCACCATAGTCCTTTCCTTGCCTTCTGGCTTTTCTCCTAGTCCTGGTACCAGGTGACTGTGTCTCTCTCAGGGTCAGAGCCTTTGGCCTCTGCGCAGTGCTTGATGAATCACTGAGAGCCTGTTCCTGTCTGGAAATCCACTCTCTGAATTCCTGGGGTGCTAGGCATTGCAGACCCTTGGGTCTTACTTCTCTGCCTCATTCATGGGAGCTGTGTCTTTACTTCCTTGCTTCCACTGGGGTGCGTTTTAGAGACCCACTGACTATTTCTAGTCAGCTGTTGTGGCAGGATTACCAGCTGTTGGCCACAGAGCTGGAGGTGCAAGCTCACCAAACATGATGCTGTGGTGATGGGAAAGGATCAGATGCTTTAAGCCCTAGGGCATTGACTTGATTCACCAACAACAGCATTTTGCAAGGTCTAGGTGTTGCCTGATGGTTCCACCGAGCCTGGACAGTGAAGTGAAACAGCCAGCTACTCCAGGATTTGGCCAGCACCCCAGCTTCCCCAGGTCCTCCCAAAATGAAAGACACCTCTCACATCAGCAGGAAGTAGTCTTGAGAACACTGCATCCTCATCCCCCTGCCTCACCTTTTTATAGTAAATAAAAAGGGAGGGATGTTAGTATTCAGGCATCTGTACTGGGCCTGTCCTTGGCGTTCTGACAGGATATATCCTCAGCTGCAGCCACTAAGAGCACCACCTGTGCACATTCACTACGCTCCCCTTTAAAAAGGCCCTACCTACCACCCATCTTTTTCTCTGCTTCTCTGCTTCTCTGTCTCTCCTCTCTATCTTCCCCCCTCTCTCTGCCTCTCCTCTTCTGCCTACCATGTCCCCAGAGGCCAGTCTCCTATCCCCTCTTTTCTCATCCACTCTCCCCCAATAAAATCCCCTCCACCCAAGCTCTGTCACACAGCATCTTTCTCTCTGGAGTCCCCTTTTAAAATTACAACAGAAGCAGCCTTGTGGGGGATGGTGACTGATGTGGAATGTGTGGAGGGGAAGAGGGAAATTCTTCTGGGTTTGGTCTTGGGCACTTGTAAGAAGGGTCATCCTGATGGGAAACACCAATGGAATTGAGAAAGTGCTACCTGTCCCTTGCTTCGACTCTAAGACAAGTATTTAATAAGACAAAAGGTCACCAGGAGATTATGTGAGCTGATTTAACCACTTCATAGATAGGAAATTGAGGCTCATGACCATTTAGCCAAGTGGTTCTTAATTTTCCTAATGCTGGGACCCTTTAATACAGTTCCTCATGTTGTGGTAGCCCCAACCATAAAGTTATTCTCATTGCTACTTCAGAACTGTAATTTTGCTATGGTTGTGAACTACAATGTAAATATCTGATATACAGGTGGTCTTAAGAGATCCCTGTGTAACAGTTGGTCAATCCCCAAAGGGGTTGAGCCCCACAGGTAGGGAATTTCTCAACTTGTACCAGATTTTAGCTTGTACTAGATAGTCCAGTGTTCTCTATAGAGTTGGGCACCTAGAGTTGGACAGAACACCACCAAGTAAGAGGTTCATCTCCCTCCATCTTTGACAAAGGAGGACAAAGTAAAACAAGCCACTCCAGGTTAGCGCTAGAGGAAACCAGTGTTCTTGTCTATTTTGAGGAATATTTGGTAAACTGAGAGGAGTAAGACTACATTCCGTTGTTGACCTATGTTTATTTAGTTCCAGGATACTTTAGACTGTGGCGTGCACAGCTAGGCAGGCCACACACTTCCAGGTGGAGGAATTCAGAAAGTTTGGGTAAATGGAAATGGGAGCAGGGGACATGTAGGGCAATAGTCTAGTGCTTGGGACTTCCACTGAGGTTATACGATGGAAGATACAGCAAGCGTGGGATCAAATCTTGAGAATGTGGGATTTTAGGTAAGCTGTTTAACTTCCCTGGACTATATACTGTAGGTTCATTTATAAATAGAGACAATGGTATCTACCACAAAGCTTTCTCCAAGGCAGTACATTGTCACCTACCCTGGGAAAGCGAGTCCTTTACTGACTGAGCCATACCTCCAGTGCCTGAAGAGGAGGCTGTTAAAATTTATCGTGATTTTTATGTATACACACACACACACACACACAGAGTGTCTTTAGCCATCAGCCACATCTGTGCTGAGTGTATTAACCTCGTTCTTTGGCTTGACTTCATGCCATTTGTAGTGTTTGTTTCTAATAAAATGTTAGATTCTGTCAAGTCAGTGTGAAAGCTGCTGGGACTAGGCAGATACCTCAGTAAACAACTCAAGAGAGGAAGAAATGACTCTTGCTCATGGGTTACAATGACCAGCTCACCTAATGATTCTGACCAGTGGTGAGACAGAGCATTGCAGCAGAAGGGCTGGTGGGCAAGGCTGTTGCCCTCATGGTAGTCACTGCCTCTCTGTCCCATTTGAGGTCCCAGGCTAGAGGGTAGATCTACCCTATCAGCGAAAACATTCCTTTCTTAGTTACTATATGGGGAAATGACCTTACTGGCACACCCAGCAATGAGCATTGCTAATTCCCTAGGCATTCCTTAATCTAAATAAACTGACAATCAAGGTTAGTTCTCACGTTAAAGGTGGTCCCAGCTCTTGACAATTGGCCTCTCAGGTCTTGGGTTTGGGTTTGCTCCTCAGAGGCAGCCCTACAGATGAACAAGGTGGATTTTCTCATCAAACCAGTGAGAGAGAGAGAGATTTCAAGTGAGGATTAACTTCAAACAACATTTAATAAGCCTCAGACTCTGAGGCAAAGGAGCCACTGCTTGGTGTTGGTGGATTAGAGTGAGCTTTTTAAAAAACACAGGAGGAAAAAAATTCAGAAGCCCTCCCCCATCTTGTATACATTTGCCATCCCTACAGAGTGGGGCTCTAGACTCAGAGTTGCTCTTTTGGGTTCCTGTGGCTACTGCTCTGTCCACAGCCAGCTTGAGTCCTGACCATCCCATTGCACAGGACTGCTGTGAGATTACGTATAGTTTGACTTTCTTTTGGGATTGCCAGCTCACAAATAACGACACAGAGGTTATTATGAAAGCTTGACCGTTATCTTAGGCTTGTCCTCAATTAGCTCTTATAACTTAATTAATCCATATTTTTAATCTATATTCTGCCACATCACTTGGTTACCTCTCTGTATAGCACAACTAACTTGCTCCGAGTGGGCTGGCAAAATCCCCATGCCTAGATTCCTCCTCCTCCTTTCCTCTTTCAGCCTGGAAACCCCACCTGTCCTCTCCTGTGTAGCTATTGGCCATTCACCTCTTTATTAAACCAATCAGAAGGTGCCTTGGCAAAGATGCATCTTTACAATGTACACAAATATTCTGAAACAATCACGTGGCAATCTCTGCCTGGTGTGTGTCTTAACATTCAAGAAATTAGTTTCCATTTTGCCAGTATCATATATGCTGTGGTGATATACTATTTATGATTAAATTTGCCTGAGGATTCACAAAGCAAAGCCAGCTTCAAGCTTTAGATATCAGACAGTGGTGATGTACACCCTTAATCCTAGGGCTGGAGATTAAAAGGTAGAGCGATCTCTGAGTCCAAGACCACCCTGGGCTACTTGAGAGTGAATCAGAGCTTACAGCTTTAATCCCATGATTTGAGAGGTATAAAAGGTAGAGGCATTCAGTCTGAGAGTAAGTCTTTGGCCACATTGAGGAGAGCATAGCACTCTGAGTGAATCTGAAGAGCAGTGAAGTTGGGAGCAGTTTGAGGATCACACCTTTGGTCTGAGCTGAGGTGAAGGTATGAGCTAGTGGCTGGCTACTTTGCTTTTCTGATCTCCAGTGTTTAATACATCGTAAACAATATATCATCACAATATGCAAAGAAGCAGGGTTCATACTGGTTACTGCTAAAATTCATCCTTGCGTTGATTTCCGATGAAAGTTTTGGAAGCTAAAATGTGATTAGTGGGAGAAGGCAAATGTTGTCAGAATACAGTGAGTTCTCTTTCTAAAGTTTCTGGAGGTTTCTACCAGGCCCACTCCACTGGCAGCTAAGGTTGGCAAGCCTATGGCACATGTATAAGTTAGCCAAATGAATAAAGCTACCTTTAAAGGAGGTAGGGACTACTGTATCAGGCACTTCACCTTCAAATGCCATTCTTTTCGAAAACAGGGTCTCAGGTATCCTGGCTCCAGCTCACAACATAGCTGAATGTGACCTTGACCTTCCTCCTGCCTCCAGCTCTAGAGCCCTGCGGTAGAGTATGCCACCGGTAGTTTATGTTAGGTGTGTGCTCTCCCAACTGAGCTACATGTCCAGCCTACCTGAAGCCAGATTATACAGTCCCACCTCACTGAACTTCACATTCAAGAAATTTCTGGAGAAAAAAAAAAACAAGAACCAACCAAACAAACAAAAAATAAACAAAAACAAAACAGAGAAAGAGAGAGAGAGAAGAAGGAGAAGAAGAAGAAGAAGACTATTGCATCATTATTTTCCTTTAACTTAAAGGTTAAACCATGTTCTATGTGTAGCAGTTGGAGACAAATCTGGTCCATTTATTGTTACTATTTCTAAGTGTATCCTCCCACACTCCTTGCAACAGCATCTACCCACAGCTCCCTTAGTACTGATGTATGGGACAGGATGTTTCAGAGCACATGAAACCACTGTGAAATGACACTACACAGAGTCTTTCATTCCATTCTGAGAGGGTAAAGTTTATAATTTCATAGGGAATAGAAGAGGAGATGTGAATTACATAAGCTGAAAGTACAACTACAAACATCTTAAATAAAAATTGGTAGTCTAAGTTCTGCAAACTTGGTGATGGGGAAATTATTATCAAGAAATGGATCATCCTCACCCCGCCCCGCCCTGTTTTCCATATGAGCACTCTTAAGGCCTTTAGGCTCTGTGATGTGGAGCTGGCTTTCCTGAATGTGGCCATATTTCAAAAGGAGATGGTGAAGAGACAAGGTCTCAAGAGAAGCAGTCAAAGCCATTAAAATTTCAATTCATATCGGAAGGAATCAACTGAGTCCAGTAAGTCATCCTTCAAGAAAACCAGGTAGTTTTCATCATTTATCTTTGTAGCCAATAACAGCATCGAACTTAACATTGATCCTGTGTTTTAAAACTGCCAGGAACCGCTCAGGAAACATCCTAGGAGAGACGTGGAAATATAATTAGGAAAGTGACACTAAGTACATTTGTAAAACATATTCATTTAAACACTTAGCATTTAATTCATAGTGCATTGTGTCAGATTCACTACAGACATGATTGAGAACCTTAACTTGAACTTAATTTTTTCAATCTACTTCCTTCTTAAATGAGGAACAATGATTAACTTTCTTTAGTACCCTAAAGAAAGTACACCGGAGTGTCCAAGAGAGCTTTAGAAATTTAACATACATACATACATACATACATACATACATACATACATATTCTTCCTTGTTTTTGTTTTGTTTTGTTTTTGTTTTTTTCAAAAGATTTCAGGAGGTATACAAAGCTGAAGAGTTGAGATGCTGAAGGGTCAAAGAAAGCCTGAAGCTGGAAAGGCAGTAAAATTCGGAGCAAATAAGGTACTTTATAATTCAAAACTCTGCTGGGATGCTGCTCCACAGCCCAGAGAAGGGGCTACTGAATGAAAATGCAGGCAGTGCCCTTGTTTTTTAGCATAATGTTGAACAAATTAATTGACCTTTGAGTTTAACTTTCTCACATGTATATGGAAAATGTATTCCCAATTGTTCCTGTGAACAATCTCTATGGTAATATTAAAGGCTACAAACAGTGACAGACATGAAGTTCATCTCTCTCTCTTCTCCCCAGAGTGTATACTAAAGAATATAGTAAGACTATTTAGGGGCTGGGGAGATGGCTCAGCCCTTAAAAGCTAGGTTCACAATATATATATATATATATGAATATTTAGAAGCTTCTCCCAGTCCAGTGGGTCTGAGAGAAAGTAAATGGGACATATATGTCAGGTTAATGATGTATACTGATCTGCTAGACCATATTCAAACAGCTGCCAGCAAAGCCATGATATCTAAAATTATAGATCATTTAGTGACTCCTATGCTTCCAGATGATTTTCTATTGTAGAAAACTCCCATGAGATCTGCAAATGAGTATCTAAAATGTAACTTTGTTACCAACTGAACAAAGACTGACAAACACGTGAGCTGCCTCATTCAAGACCTTTCTTCCTGCATTACAGGTGCTGATTTTTTTTTTTTTTAAAAAAAAAATTGGTCTCCTCTAAACTATCTTTGTCTATGGTCCCATATGTCACTAAGGGTCTGCAAATGAAAAAGGCATTCAAGACTCCAGGAAGGTAAGCTCTGTGGGGAGAGGACAACTGTCCATTTATCTGATGCAGGGTACCATGTGGGGAGTGTCTTGATTCAGCGTTGTCTCCATTTCGAAGTCAGAAACAATGAGAGCTGTTGCATCGGGGTAGGGACAGTGACAACAACTTTCTCACACCACCATCCTCACACTTACAGAATTCAAAACTAAAACCAGTTTTCATTGCTGATGTGAGACCATGTCTCTCTTGGATTTCTTTAAAATTTCCAATTGGGCTAGAACCAAGTATTGATGGTAAGCATTTTGCTTTACAAATGACAAAAGCTTAAAAAAAATCAACCTTTGTCTCCTTTCATCCTACTGTTCAATGATTCTACTACTAAAAATGCTTTAAAACATCCTTGCTCATTGATAAGAGACATACACTTCTTATGTTTTTGGTTGTGAGCCTAGCCTTTAATGGATGAGTTATCCCTCCAGCCCAAGAGTCATACATTTCTTTTATCCCCCCCCCAAAAAAACCCCAAAAATAAATAATAAACTTAGCAAACCTTACAAACACACGAAAATCTCAGTGACATTACAGTCTTCCCTTGATGATTAACATTCTGTTTTTAAAACTCAGAACCTCTTTACCTATTATTTTTTTTCTCAACTTACTCCTATATAACTTCAGTTAATCAATTGGTTTTTAAATCTAGTAGGGACATGTTGACTTCTAATGCAGACAAACACAACTATTCTTACCTTTCCAACACCATCAAAAACCCTATAGCACTCGGAACAAATATCATCTTCTTTTCAGTGAGGATCCCATGCATGAGATGTTCCACCACCTCTTCAGGTTCCAGGGTGGGTCCTAAGCTAAAACAGAGGCAGGCTTCAGAGACAAGACATCTATCTCACTGAAGGTGAAATTTGGTGTTGAACAAGTGGAATTTTGCATTCAGAGCAAAGGGGACTAGAGTTCATAAACATCTATATAAATGGCACAGCACATTGGAGGGCTACACCATGGCCTGGTATCCATCATCAGGAAGTCTATACTGTGCCCTGGTACCCTCCATCAGGAAGACTACATTGTGGGGAAAACAAATTCAATTACTTACAACAAAAACTCAGGTTTCAATATTTGTTGTTTCTTAATCTAAAAACGGGCTTGAGGCAGCAATATGGTGGCCAGGTCTAATAAGTGGCTCTCCAGAAGACAGACTTCCCAGTTCTGCAGGAATTGCTGATTTCTGGAATTTTAATACTCCCTCCCCTGGCAGATTTCAGCTACCTGTGGGACATCACTGGGTGAGCACAAGCCAGCAGCAGCACTCCCAGGGATGTGATGATGGAGTGGGTGTACTTTGTTAGCACTTCATGCAACTCTACTACACAAGACACCTTGTTATGTAGCATCTTCTGCTCTAGCTGAAATCAAATAATCCCCCCCCACACACACCTTGAAAATATTTAGAGAAAAAATAGAGCCACATAAGAAGAGTAAATGCTTTAGAAGTTAGCTATGGGGGAAAAGGCTTATCAATTACACTTGGTCTAATATTTTAGATTATGCTGCATTGTTCTTAACACTAATTGAACAGAAAGAGATATATTGTTTCAAGAAGACTTACTTTGTTTTGTTTTTATTTTTCGAGACAGGGTTTCTCTGTAGCTTTGGAACTCAATCTGTAGACCAGGCTGGCCTTGAACTTACAGAGATCTGCCTGCTTCTGCCTCCCAAGTGCTGAGACTGAAGGTATGTGTCCAGCTTCAAGAAGACTTTTAATAAAAAACAGTTTGTTCTTGAAACAATAGGGTCTCTGTGGGGGTCCCTGCAACTACCAGGGCCAGCAGAGTATAGAAAATCCAGTTCAACACGACTCAGTAGCCACTGCTGGTTCAAACTTCTAGAGTCTGGGGGGCAGTTTATGTTAAGCATATTTAAGCACAACACAATTTGGAGAGAAGTTTTCAGATACAATGCAATCCCCTGTGCATGAGGAGACATAATTACATTGTAACTCAACTTACTGTACCTGTCACTTCTTCCAAGATGTGTTCTGGAGATAGGCTACCTTTATAACTTGTAGACCTAGGGGAGAATCTGCCCTGTTCTCCATCATGCAGATAGCATAGAGGTCACTTGGGCTATTAGCCACCTCCTGTCCTGGTTGTGGGAGCTTGAGGTAGTCCCTGCTCATACAGATTCCCAGCCTTCTGGGTTGAGAAACAGGTTATAAAGCCTTTTCTTTGAAAAGGTCACCCTGAGTCTACAGCATTCCTGGTTTCCCTCTGAGCACAAGGACCTTTTCTCCAAAGAGGTCTCCAACCATACAAAGCTGAAAGTGTCAGAACTCAGTGGAGAAAATTGAGTTTGGCAATCATAGTGGGAGGCTTTATTCCCCACTTTCAACAGTGTATGAGATACTGAGACAAGTCCAGCAAGAGAATTCAAAGATCCTAGATTTCACTGATGTGGACACAGCGTTCTCTTAACAACTGCATAGGCGGACTGCATAGGCTTTTTCAAAAGCATATAGAAAAGTTTCCTTTAGTGCAGGCCATGCATTAGGCCACAAGACACATCTAGATAAGTGCAAAGAGATTGAAATTGAACACAATATGCTCTGACCAGAATGGATGAAGGCGGCAATGGAGTGAAGTTAGAAACCAGCAATACAAAAGGGATTGGAAAATTCACAGTTACGGGGAGGGGAGCAGCACACACAGGTACATCTAGAGGACTAGAGGAGAAGCTGCAAAAAACCAGATGCTCTGAGATGAAAAGAAGGTATGCCATAGCAAAATATGTGAGACACAGTGCTCAGAGGGGACCAAGGCTGGGGAATCTCTATTAAAAAAGAAGAAAAGTGTCAAAACAATTGATGTGACAGTCCATTCTGAGAAGACATCCAGGCTTCCAAAGGAAGGAAGCAGCCCAGCTTTGACACTTATGAGCCATGGCAAGGACCAGCATGGCAAGTTCATCCTAAGGTTACAGTAGTGGCACACACTTGCCTTGGCTGTAACCAACAGCTCTTTACCTGGACTTTAGTCTCATTCAACGAGAGGGACATCATGCTGGCACCCAAGACTTGTTCAACTACCCAGGCTACTAAAATCACAGATCTTAGAGGGGCATCTACAACAGCCACTCTACTAAACCACCATTGTTCCTAACTATATTCTGAATATTTATCCTGAAAAAGTTCTTACCCCTCATCAAAGAAACTGCTCTTTGTAACAGATGGAGACTACTACAGAGGTCATGACCCATCAAAATGCAGAGCCCAACAGATACATCTACAACACAGTCCCTGAACCCAGGGCTTGGGATTATAGCAGAAGAGGGGGACAGAAAGATCAACAGAGCCAGAGGAACAGATTGTGTCTCCCAGAAATGTTAGAAGTCACTCCTATAACATCTCACTAACAGGACTGCCTAAACATGAGCTGAATGAGGACAATAACAATAGACATGCTAACATGAAAGGGAGAAGGCCCAAGAGGCCTCAACCTTAGGCAAAGAGCTACAGGCGACTGAGGAATGCTGAGCACACACCTGTGCAGTTGGTTATCAATACCAATGGTCAATGCTGAAGTCGTGTGTGTGTGTGTGTGTGTGTGTGTGTGTGTGTGTGTGTGTGTGTAACATTATATGGACTGAGCAGGTTGTATTTATATATTAAAACACATACATACAAAACAACAACAACTAAAAAAAAAGAGGCTACAAATTTGTAAGGGTGGGCATCACATGGGAGGGCTTGAAGGGGTAAAATGATGTAATTATATCAAAAATTAAGAAAAGCATTAAAAAAATAAGCTATAAGTCAAAATTGAATCAAACACAAAGCAAGGCAAGTTGAGAAATAGTAAAGATTTAATTATAGGTATTCGTGAACTAGAGGCCAGAAACAAAGCAGAGAGAATCCATGAAATCAAAGCTGATCCTTCTAGAAGAACCACAAAATTAACAATGTCGTAAACTAGAATAACTAAGGAAGGCACAGAATACAAAACCAGGGATGAAAGCTCATTTCTAGGGCCTCATGGAATCTTGAGAAAGCCACGGACGGACAGCTTCGAGCCAGTTAGAGGACCCATGGAATGTATCAACCCAGGGAATAGCAACCACGGAGACTGACTCAAGAAGAAACTAAAAAACAGAGCAGGACTTTAATAAGAAATTCAGTCAGTACCCAAGACCTCTTATTCAAGACAGGATCTGACTATGTCACTCAGGCTAGCCTACATCTCCCTATGTAGTAGACTGAGCTATCATTGAACCGGACACCCAGATTCTTCTTCTTTTTTTTGGAGACCGGGTTTTTCTGTGTACCCCTGGCTAACCTGGAACTGGCTCTGTAGACCAGGCTGACCTCGAACTCAAGGGTCCACCTGCCTCTGCCTTTGGAGTGCTGGGATTAAAGGTGTACACCACCTCTGCCTGGCAACAGCTTTTTGTTTTTGTTAATATTTAAGGGAGAACCGACAGAAATCCTTTTCAAATTCTTCCCAGAACAGATGACAAAGAAACTTCTTGTTTTGCATGGGGTCTTGGTATTTAAGCCAAAGCTGTTCTTCAGCCTGAGACAGTCAGCTTAGTAAATACTAAGAATAGAGCCACAGAGTGCCACACCCGTGTGCCCCAATGTTCGATGTCAACCAATCACAGCTGAGAATCTCCAAAACTTTCTGTAAGTTGATTGTCTCAGGTATTTTGTCAGAGTGACAACAAGCTGTCCAATCTCATGGAGTTAGCTATATAAACTGGATGCAGTATGGCTGTAGTCCCAGAAATTGGAAGCAAGACAGGAAGATCAGATGCTCATGGCATCCTCACTGCTTAGTGAGTTTGAATCCAGCTTTGGTTGTATGGCATGAGATGGAGACAGAGAAAGAGAGAACATGAATATATCTAACTATGGCCAAAGGATCAAACCTGGCCATGCAGGAGTAGAGCAAAGGATAGAGGCAAATATACTGTATATAGTAGAGCTTCCGGCATTTAGCAGGTGAATGTCTTGAAATAATGCTATTGCTTAGGGCTTCTATTGCTGTGATGAAACATCACAACCAAAAGCAAGTTGGGGAGTAAAGGGTTTATCTGGCTTATACTTCCATGCCACTATTCATCATCAAAGAAAGTCAAGAACAGGAACTCAAACACAGCAGGAACCCAGAGGCAGGAGCTGAAACGGACCATGGAGGAAGCTGCTTACTGGCTTGCTTCCTCTGGCTCGCTCAGCCTGCTTTCTTATAGAACCCAGGGCCACCAGCCCAGGGACGGTACCATCCTCCATGGGTACCTCTTGAATTGATGACTAATTGAGAATCTGCCTTACAGCTGGGGTCTCATGAAGGCATTTCCTCAACTGTGTCTCTTTCCTCCCTGATGACTGTGTCAAGTTGACACACATAACCAGCCAGCACATTATCCAAGTTTATTTAATAAAAATAATTCTTAGTTCTCAAGAACTTAATTGGAATGCATGATAATATTTAATTCCTATAAATTTATACTACAGTGTAATCTAGCCTTTAAAAGAAAACCTGTTTCTTTGCAGTGTGTTACACATATAAACACAAGTGATAAGCTATACCTGAATGCCCTTGAGTGGATTTAAATGCCACCATTAACACGAGAGACTTCATTTCAAATTCAGCCACTTAGAAGCTGTTCCAGTTTCTTCATTGAGAAATTCTGGCTTTGTGTAACTGAGGTTCTGCACTGCGGCTCATGAGTGAGTTGCTAGGTTACCTGTAAGCCTCAGACAACTCATCCACCAGATGAATAACTAGATGACATCTGCCCCAATGCTCAAGGTGTAAGAAAAAGACTGTGTTTAGTATTCTGTTAGGGTACATGCCTCCAGTCATGTTTTTAAAAATGATCTGTAATTATTTCTTGTATGAATACAGTTTTGCCAGAAGAGGGCGATCTTGCCTTGTCTAGCCATGTCCTAGGGTGTGGTTAAAACAGTAATAGCTTTAAAATGTGGTGTCTGGTTTTAATAACTGAAAGTTAGCTGGAGTTTTAAGAACACATACACCAGTATGTTATTTTAGCATCTAGATCCTGAGATAAGAGCGGAAAGAAGCAAGTGTTACTACGGCCTGCTCTTGGATTTAATGAACAAGACTTCCCTTCTCAACTGAGCTGTCCCTTTTCTTCCTTCAGGGTCAAATTAGGGTTATATGGTTAATTCAGGTGGAGTTAAGAACTGGCTTTCTGAACTAGACATTCTTGCCTTGGGCTTTTTGTTTATGGGTTTTTGTGGTTGTTTTTGTTTTTTGTTTGTTAGATTGGGTTTTCTTTTCTTTCTTTTTTTTCTTCTTCTGATTGCTTTTGTTTTTTTGTTTTGTTTTGAGACAGGGCTTACCTTGTTGAGGCTGGTAGAAATTTAGCCTTCAGAGGGTTGGGACTACAGGTGCCTGCTAAAAGACCTGGGTTCATTCTTACTTTTGTTTCCTAACAAAATTGTGTCTTCACATAGATTATTTTTGGGTGAGATCTCATGACATTAAAAAGCTTCTGCTCAGAAAAGGTAAGCACACAGAATGAAGACAGACAGACTACAGACTGTTGAACATCTGATGGAAGATTAACATCTAGAATGTACAAGGAGATAAAAACCAAAATATCAAGACACCAGTCTTGTGAGTTAAATCCAGTCAGTGAGTTAAAGGAACAGATAGTTCTCAAAAGATAAAATACAAATAGTCAATAAACACAGAAAGAATGCTTAGCTTCAACACCCACCAGAGAAATACAAACACATTACACCGAGGCCCCACCTCCCCCAGTGAGAGTGGCAGAGTTTTTAAAAGCAAGTCAGAGCTCAGGTGAGGGTGTGTCAGGCACTGAGAATACAAGCACAAGTTCTGCTTTTCGCACATATATGGCTATAGTCAGTGAGAAAGTAAACCAGAAGGGAGATCAGTATAGAGACCGAGCGTAGTGAGATCCAGCTATGCCATTCCTAGGATAACATGAGGGGCTCCAAACCAGCCTGTCAGAGACATTTGCACACCAATGTTTACTGAGGCTCCATTCACAGCAGCTAAGTGATAGAACCAACTTAGGTTCCAATAACAGGGAAATGGGTAAAGAAAATGGGTACACACACAATGAAAGTTTCTCAGCTGTAAAGATGAAGTTATGTTGTTTACAGGGAAATGGGTGAAGCTGGAGATGTTTGTATGAAGCGAATTAAGCCAGTCTCAGAAAGGCAACCATGCTTTCTCTCATTTGTGATTCCTAGGATCTAGATAGATACATGAAATTGTGTGTATACATATAACATGGAAGTACAAGCAGGGGGCTGGAGAGGTAGCTCAGCCAGTAAAGAGCTTGCTATGCAAGCATGAAGATGTGTGTTCCATCCCCAACACCCAGTAAAAGTTAAAAAGCAGCATTTGTCTGGAGCAGAGAGAGGGAGAGAGAGAAAGAGAGAGAGAGAGAGAGAAAGTCACAGAGAGGTGAAATAAAGTAGTTATTACAAATTCAAGTTGTAACAACATTTTTTTCTTCTGCATCTTTGAAGTTCACATCCTATAAAAATGTATCTACCAACATTGTAAATACACTAAATGTGAATCTGTCTATGGTTTTAGGAAACCTAGTTGATTTGACTAAATGCTATTTTTTTTATCAACTATTTTCCTGCAAAATATATACTTCAAGATTCTTAGCATCCCACTCATAGGTCTCTTAATGACCATAAGACAGGAAGGTTCTTTGACTGTGAATCAAAACAAGGCTTCATTGTTAACTTCTAACACATTGTAAATCATCTGATGAAATTTACATTTCTAACTCTGCACGAATCCTAACTGCTATGGAGTCATCTGGCAATCTGTTATTAGCATAAACTGTCACTGTATAAATATTTATAAATTGTTTCTAGTTTGGTATATCACTTACATGTTGCTTTGTAAAATAAATAAATCAACTTAGTGGTTTCAAAATAATTAAATAAACAAAAGTTCCCAGGTTAGATATAAAAGAGAAATGTCCTTATTTAATATAACATTGTATACCATTAATATGCACTAAAGGAAAAACTAAAGAGAAAACAATTTTTAGCCTAGAGATGGACTTAGGATGGTTCATGGCTTAATCATGATCTTTTAACTTTAAGATGGCTATACACTCTGTACACATTGTATCTTTTCCATGGCTATACACTGTACACATTGTATCTTTATGATGGCTAGACAGTCTTTATAATCTGTATCTTTACCATGGCTATACAGCCTGTATACATTGTATCTTTATCATGGCTACCTGTTGTATACACTGTATCTTTACCATGGCTATACACTCTGTATATATTGTATCTTTTTCATGGCTATACACTCTGTACACATTGTATTTCAAATGTTTAGTGTAGCATTTGTCTGGCTGGGCAGCAGTAAGCCACAGCTTCCAGTGAACATGGTAGATACCCCCTCACAGTGCTGCTGTGGCATTAGGTAGGGTGGGTAGATTACATGCATTTCAGCTTACCAGGCTCTCCATTTGTGATGATGTCACCGGGACATAACCCTACTGCAGTCAGCAATGCCTTTATTTGATGGGTCCTAGGAGTCCCCTTGCTTTTAAAGAGTTGCTTATTTTGGTCTAGTGTTTGCTTTGCTCTCAGCCCATACTTAAAAGGGAGCATGCCATTCCTAAGTGAATTATCTCCATAGTCCTCATTAATTTCAAACACAATTCACAAAGAACAGCCAAATTAGAAGGGAGCAGAACAAAACCTGAGGGGGCAGACTAAGCTAAAAAAATTTGTTATCAATATAACCAAATAGAGAATGCAAATGAATAGCCATGGATTTATTATATCAATTTAAGCCAGTGGGGGAAATAATGAGTCACTAAGCAACAGAACAGAATAACTCATTAACTATTTGGGAAAAGCAATTAGGCCATAACCTCAGTTCTTTCTTAAGCCAAAATAAATTGAGGTAAAGATTTAAATGTAAAAAGTACAGCCATAAAAACCTACTGAAAGGACTGGAATGTGACATTCCCTGGAAGGGCACCTGCCTTGAATATAGGCAAAGCCTGGATCCAATGCCTGGCACTATCACCCCATCTCATCCCACCCAAGCTACTAGGAAGTGATATGGGTAGATGTAAGTGTGGTATGAGACAGATCTTTCCAAATACCTCATGGAACCTAAAGGCCATGGGGTAGCACTTGGGAAAACCAATACACAACCAATGCACCATGTACAGGATCTCAGATACATAAATGACAATATGCCTTAAAACTCCATACTCCCTAGAAAAGTAGGCACATACTATGAAAACAGATGAGCACAGAAACAGTTATTAATATAAATATAGTTTCTTCATGTATGAAGTTGTCCATGATTTAAAAAGTGAGCAGAAAGGAGGCTGATGGCCAAGAAGCAAGATGCCTGCCTTTACCATGGGTAACTGGAACCCCACTTCTGGAGGGGCACTCTGTAGAAACCTGACAATTCCTAAATATTTGATTTGATCTACTAATGGCCCTTCATGGTAGATCCATGTGTACAATGCACATGAGCGTAACTTAAAGTTTAAACTCTGTCAGGCATAGTGGCACACACCTTTAATCCCAGACCCCAGGAGGCAGAGGCCAGCCTGGTCCACCTAGTGCAATCTTACCTAAATAAAAAAAAATTAAGTTTATTTTATTTAACACATGTAAAATTATCTACAAAGATGTTATCAGATGTTAGGAGAGGGTCCTACCGATGAAGAAAATTCAGAAAAACTTTTTTATTAGTATTTCCTGTAATGTTTGAATTTAAAAATATGCATTATGGACCCGGCATGGTGATGCACATCTTTAATTCTAGCACTTGGGGTAGGGGTGGGGTAGGCAGAGGCAGATGAATATCTGTGAGTTAAGCTTGGTCTACATAGTGAGTTCCAGGCTAGTCAGAGCTATGTAATAAGACCTGTATTATGATTACTAAGACATTAAACCTAATGCCAAGGAGATGATGAAACATTATTCTGAGAGTTGATTTTTTTATGATTTTTTTCCCCAAAGAAATAGTTTCGTCTGGAACTCACTTTGGACCATAACCTCTAAATCCACCAGAATCACCTATGTGGTTTTTGATCAGGGACCCAGGCGCCCTCCTCACCACTGCCCTACCTCAACCAAACAACGAAAGTCATTTCTGGGGTGGGAGAGCCCAGCTTGTGTCGCAAGCTGTCCAGGACACAACGGATGTGTGTGAGTCTGAAAACTATGCTGATCCAGGGTTGAAGAAACAAAGGAGAGATTAACCAGTTCACCTGCTGCATTGAGATCTGTATTCTAGTCATGCTCGCCCATTTTCTTTGTCTCCCCACCTGTTTTCCCACAATTTACCAACTGCAGCAAGGTGAACTAACAGCATCAGATAGCAGGTATTTCAGGGATTAATTTGTTCAAGATTAATCCCCACAGAACAAGATCCATAGCAACCGCCCGCACTGCGGTCTTGCTCTGGTCCCTGCTTACTTGGTACTCGGGTTCTTGATGAAGCCAGTGTTTATGAAGTTAGGGCAGAGACACGACGTTTTGACTCCGGATCTTCCCAGGGCAGCCAATTCATCAGTCAGGGCTCTGTGGAAGCCAACAGCAGCAAACTTGCTGGAACTGAGAAAATGGGGTTTAAAAGTAAATTCAAGAACACTGTGGTCCCACAGTTGGGGGAGCTCTTCCCATCAGCAGCAGGGATTCCTTAGTCATGGGCCTCGGGTAGAGTTAGTGGGCCAGTGCCACACTAAGCTAAATTCCTAGCCACATGGAAGCCCCAGGCACATGGCACACAACATTTCCTACATGTTGCATTCCTAACTGGCTGGGTTTCAGTGCATTAACTGACCTGAAGGGAAGTTTGGGGAGTGTTTGCTTTCACTATTGCTGGTACCATAAAATCCAAGGTCACTGTGAATCTGTTTATTGTTTATTCTAAAATAGTCATACAACTCAGTGGGCAGCTCTTCTGTACACACCATTCTTCCTCCTCAGAGCCCCCTCCCGCACCATCCCCCCACACACACATTAAATAGCACTCTTAAGTTTTCTAGGATGGAATGTTTCAGTTTTGTAATGAAACAATGACCGTACCTAACTTTTTGTGTATGTAATTTTTTAAGATGATCTGTTCCTGAAGCTGTGTGCATATGTGCAGTGTGTATATATTTGTGTATAGGCAAGATTTTAACATTGATGTTGTTCATGAATGCACTTTGCCTTATTTTTTGAGACAGGGTCTCTCTCTAGGAGCCTGAAGCTTGCCCATTGGCTCTCTTAAACTTTTACTATAATCTTCATGACTATATTGGTCACAAATGAGTCTCTAGGGCCTCACCTAGGACTGGCCTCTTAATAGGTACTCAGTAAATATTTGTGGAATAAATAAATCAGAGTGCAAAGCAATTCTCACAAAAACACCTTCATTTGGAAATATTGTGAAACTACTCTAAATGGACTTTATTTTTCCAGGTCTAAAAAGAGCTTTATTGAAATATAATACTTTAAATTTTATATTAAGCATATAATATTTTATATCTTATATAAAAGTATATAAAGGTATATAATTCAATCATTTGTTAGTATCTTACATTACTAATTTTGAAAACTGTCATAAGATACATGTAACATAAAATCTGTTACCTCAAATGTCTAGCTCGGTGGTATTAATTACCATATAGTTTCATGCTTATGAATAAGAAATTAGATAAGGTCTCTATACAGTCTTGTCAATTAAGCTGTACTTTGAAAACCAGGAAGCTGTAGAAAGTTTTTTAAAGCTTGGAAATGTATTGAACTGTAAATGAAACACTGTCAGCTTCAATGGTGAGGTGGAAAGCTTCAGTAATTATATATAAATATACATATACATACATATATACATACACACACACACATATATGTATATATATCATTTTCTTTCTTTCTTTCTTTCTTTCTTTCTTTCTTTCTTTCTTTCTTTCACTTTTTCCTTCTTTCATTTTTTGCCTGCCTTTGCTTCCCAAGTTCTTGAACAGGGTGTTGGTGGCTTAATTCCAGCATGTGTTACTTTTTATACAAACCAGGCTGATCTTGAACTTATGATCTTGCTGCCTCAGTGTCAGGAAAACTATAGATTTTCTTTCTCTCTTTCCTTCCCCCCACCCTTCCTCCTCTCCCTCTCTTTAGACTCAGGACTGTGTAGATGCTAGGCTAGTACTGTACCACTCCAGCCCTTGATCTCTGAAAGTGTCTCTCTACTCAACCCCCAGTGGCCCTGAACTCACAGAGCCCTGAGTCTCTTGCTTCTCTACCTTGAAGAACTGAGATTGTAGGTGGACACTACCACAGCCACAACTAAATGCAGATACTTTTCTTATATGCGTGGCTGTGTTTAAAGTGTCCAAAGAGTTCTATCAAATGCGTAACATGGTTCTTTGAGTTTGGTAAGATTATCAATAAATTTTCTTTTAAGAAATTCCGTTTTCTGACTTTTTTCTTAAGTGAACCAAAAATGCAAAAACAGCTAGGAACTAACAGTCTCAAGTGTCTGAAGGAAGAAGGGCATGGATTACAATGATGCATCAGTGTGGCTTTAAGACATGGTAAGAAATGGTACTTCTAGCCAGGCATTGGTGGCACACACCTTTAATCCCAGTGCTCGGGAGGCAGAGGCGGGAGGATCTCTGTGAGTTCGAGGCCAGCCTGAACTACAGAGCAAGTTCCAGGGCAGGCTCCAAAGCTACAGAGAAATCCTGTCTTGACAACCCCCCCCCCCACCACACACACACAAAAGGTACTCTTGGAGTGTTTTTTTCAAGCAGGATTCCTTCAACCAGAATCAAGCCCGGGTTTGGATTGGTTGCCCTCCCCCCCCCCCCAGCTGCCCTTTCCTATATAACCCTGCCCTTTGAGCTCTCCCAGTCTCTCAGCCTAGGCTGCTCCTCTTGGTCAGCCTTCCCTCCTCTCCTCACATGGGTCAGGGTCATTTCCACTCTGGACACTCCCAGATGTCCATGCCTCTGGCTATCCTCTCCCACATATCTGTAATAAACTTTCACCATATTTGGGAGCAGTCATGTCCTTTCCTTTTTATTTTACTTTTTTCATTCAAGGAGGGTGGAGGATCAGGGAGGAGTTAGAAGGAAAAATAGGAGGCTGTGAATATGATAAACATACATGCATGAAATTCCCAAAGATTTAATAAAATATTATGTTAAAAAAATCAAGATACCATAAAAAATCCCACTTAACAAACATCAAAACTCATCTTAGGAAAGAATCAAAAAGAGTAAACATCCCCACTATGAATTCAGTTTTGCCACTGTGTACTTCTCAGGGCAATCATTGAAACTGTTCAGAGATAACTCCTACAGTATGATTAATTTTCTCCTGAGAAGACTCTGTTGCTGTGATAGGTGAGAGCTCAGTTATAAACAATTGGTAATTCTGTCTCCCCTTCGTTTCATCACACAAAGAACAATGGGAGAACACACAATCAGTTTCCCGGGGCCGTATTCTGGGAGCTGACAGATGGGGCCCTATTGCTTTTTTGTGACTCTAGGGAAAAATGGAAGTGAACTTCCAGCAGGTACCCTCTGGTTACCAAGCAATCTCAGGTCCCAGAATCAGTGCTAAGGTCATTGCATTCTAGGATTTACATTAGATACTATTATTAAACTGTTTTATGGATGAGAAAAATTCAGCACTGAAAAGCTGAGAACTCCGAGTAAGGTCTTTAGCTAGTAAATGATTGGCAATGCTCACTTTCATTATCCCAAAGGAATCCTATCCTGGAAACACCCCAGATGTTCATAAATGGTAGGACAGGCAGACAGGTTGCTGTGTAGTAACATGATACAAGACTGTGTATGATCAAATAATAGCCACAGATGACATTATGGACACATCTCACAAATACAGTGAGACTCCATGTACATAAAGATCAAAAATGGGTAAATTTAGCCTGTGTTGTTCAAGGGAGTCTGTGGTTATCTGTGAGTGGTAACTAGGAAGAGCACTGAGGGGCTCCAGAGGTGATGTTGTTGTTATTATTATTATTATTTAATGGTAAGGATGCATCTACTTTGAAGTAATTCACTTTTTAATTATTATAAATGCTTTTAAAAAGCTTTTAAAAGGCAGTGCCATGGCCAGGTTGTGGCTCAGTGTAGAATGCTTGCCTTGCACCTACAGGGCTCTGGGTGTGATCTAGCCCTGCACAGACCAGGTACACTGATACGCACCCTTAAGCCCAGGACGTGGGAGGTAAAAACAAGATCTGGAGTTCAAGATCATCCCTGGATTGGCCACGTGAGACCCTATCTCACAAACTAAAGAAGAGGAAGGGGGGGGGGAGAAGGGAAGGAAAGGGAGAGGGAGAAGGAGAAGGAAAGAAGAAAAAAGAAACTAATATGTTCACTTAAAGACACTGAGGCTCAGTTGACCCCTGGTTACCAACATCTGATGACACAGTTTTCTGCTGGTAGAAGTGTTCAATGTCTGAAAATTTCAGCCTGAGAAGATGTTCAGCAAAACTGAACCAGTACTGTGGATTTTCCTTTACACTGTATGAAGATTTGTCACTGTGATGGGTTTAATAAAGAGCCAAAAGCTAGGCAGGAAGAGGTTAGGTGGGACTTCTGGGGACAGAGAGGTGTTGGAGAGGAAGAAAGGTGGGATTTCTGGTCTGATGCAGAGGAAGCAGGACATACAGAAGGAGAGGTAAAACCCACAGCATGTAGACTAAAATGAATGGACTAATTTAAGTTATAAGAGCAAGTGGGACAAGCCTAAGCTAAGGCCAAGCTTCATGATTTGGGGGTTGGTGGCACAGAGAAAGACTGACTACAAACTAGTGAAGTCGTGACTGGCTCGCAGATGAAGTTCATGGCTAAGACCCCAGTGGGGTCTGCAAGGCTCAGGAACCACAGGTCTTCAGCTCAGATAGAGGTACACCCACTGCTCTGTGGTTAGTTATGGCAGGTGACACCCTCATTAATTTAAAATGGCCATTTCTCTTTGTGAGCTATTTTACTGCCATCCTCATGGTGCAAAAACATTACTCTTTTATTTCCTTATTGCTAGATGGCATGGGAAATGTTTTAAGTGACTGTCTTATAATTGGATCAATCACTCCAGAGACCTCTAGAACAGCCATTGAGGTGAACTGAAAGGTGTCTTAACAGTCGATGATACAGTTAATCCCAAGGCTTTGCCTAGCTCTTCGGGAAACTTTGAGTCTGTTATTGTGATGAAGATAGTCCTCATTAGATAGGGTAGGAGAAATTAAGTATCTAAACCCTAAAAATAATATGCATATGTCTGTACATGTACTACAGATGTGTGTAAATATACATACGTAAGTATAAGTAGGTAGGTGGGTAGTTTATTTTTATAGAAGATATATGTGCATCCTATATACAAGTTTTCAAGAATATAACCAAAATAATAAGACATAAAAGCACACAACTTAAGTATAGCAGTCAGTGAAAGTAAAGTACTCACATACCAGTAAGCCAGCAAGAAGGGAACCACCGTGTGCCCAGCTGCTGATGCCACAGTGACAATATGGCCATGATTATTCTTCATCATCTCTGGAAGAAATGCCTTTGTGGTCTAGAAATAATTTTGTTAAAAAACAAACAAACAAACAAACTCATGTATTATTTCTGGTTCACAGGCTCATGAAATACTCTGAATCAAAGATATGCCCCCAAAGCACTGTTTCCGATATAAATGAAACCACCTGACTGCCAGGCACAACAGCCAGGACAAATGGACAGGACATCACACTGGAATAACTACTCAGGTGCTGAAAGCATTGAGAGCCTGTCTTGTTTAAATTGCTTACTACGTATATTCCTAACCTCCAGAGCTCCTACCATCGACGACTTCTAACATCTCATACACTGAATAGAAAGATACATACACTGGAATACAAGAAGGATTAACAATTAATACTAAATTAGTAGACAATAATTTAGACAATAATTTGATCATGATCTCAAATACCACAAGGAGCAGTCTTCCAGTGGTTACTAACTGACTGGCACACCAAACACTTATTGATCACCCACTGTGTGCTGGGGATACAGAAACAAATAAAATAACACACTATATTTTACCAAGCATAAAAACAGGAAGACAAACATCCATGGCTTGGGAAAAGTGAGGTAACCAGCACACTGTATTTTCACTGGCTCCAATCACTCCAAGTACATATCCAAGAAAATGCCAGGCCTCTTTTATGAACTAGCTGTCTGGGAACTATATGAAGTCTTCAGAAACACATATACTTTATAATGGAATGGTGAGTTCCATTATAATGTCTGCAGCTTTCGAGGCCAGTAAGTAAAGTAGGGCCTGAGTCTCATGAGAATTTGAAAGTACACCACGTGCATCCTTGTTACAGAATCATGGACAATGGCTTGGGTGGTCTCTGTTTCCTTCCCACATGTCTACACTATCCCAGAGAGGTGTGCAAATGTAGTTCAGAATCAGAAACTGCAAGCAAGGCATGATGAAGAATGCCTGCAAACCCAGCACTTTGAGGGCAGAGAAAGGAGGATAGGGGTTCAAAGCCAGCCTCATCTGTATATTGAGTTTATGGCCAGACTGTGGTACCTGAGACCTCGATACTAAACAGCCAGAAAAATCAAAACCAAATCAAATTCATACACAATACCTGAATCTCACCATGACTTACTTCATTATTAATTTTGGAAGGTGCAACTGTTGGTAAAATGCAGTTATATCATTAGGAAGGAACTCCTAATCTTTGAGTTTTTAAAGGGGACTACTTTGTAAAAGAAATCACACTCACCCAAAAGTGTGCAAGCACATTGACTTCGAAAGTCTTTTCAATTTGTGCATCTTGTGTAGCAAACAAATCCGAAGTGTAGACAACACCAGCGTTATTTATCAGAATGCTAACATTCCCAACTTCCTCCTTTACCTTAAACATCAAAAGAAAAACTATATTCATCAAAAGGAAACTATATTCATTAAGTGGTTTGACAGTAGATTTGCATATGCTGACTATTGAAAGAACATACGCTTTTATCTACTAGGCATGGAAAAAAGGTAGTTTTGTTACCTATATGCCAACATAGGGTAAAGGATCCTTTATACTTTATGTACTTACGTCCAAATCAGCTCTGTTTAGAATTCTTTTGCAGTTTAGTCTACTGGCTTTACTCTATTGGTTATGGCTAACAAGATATTTGGATACATAGAATTGATTTTTAAATGTTCCTTCTAAAGGTTAGCTGAGATTAGTTAATTTTATTACAGATTCTAGGATGGGTTATAGGAGATTATGTAAAACTTGCTACACTATTAAGATGGTCACATCTATTTCCTTATTGCCATGATTATTTTGTTCTATTGCTTACCAGCCATTCTCCACTGGGTGGCAAAAGGCTGAAGAGTATAGAGTAGCAGTCTTTGGTCAGCCTTGAATTGAGTTTTGACTCTACCACTATCTGGACTTTAAATAAACCATTCAGAATGTCCATTGCTGCTCTTAGAGTTAAGAATATAGTTTCTGTAAGTTACTGTGGGAACAATGAAACATGTGAATGAGCTATCTGTTACAAATTATAATGTCTATTACCATTATTACTGTATCAGTACACATCTGTTTATACCTATGTCCAAGGGATATGTTTGTGGATTCTTTTCTTGATCTTATGAGGAGTCAGAGATGGTCTTAATATGAAAATATATGAGGTAAATAATACAAATATTATATATAGCTGTACATGGTAGTATACATCGTTAAGTCCAGAACTTTGAAGGCAGATTTCTGTGAGTTTGAGTATAATATTATTTACATAGAGCATTCTAGGCTATCCAGGGCTACATAATGAGACCCCCATCTCAAAACAAAACAAAAGCACAAACAAAAAAAATTACATGCATGGTTTCTAACGTTGTTTTCCCTTGATGATTAGCTTCTCTCTTTGGTATTAGTTCAGAAGGAAGAACATCTGGGAAACTAGAGTGATTATGTGGGAGGGCTTATATAAACCACTAAATCCAGATTTCAAAAGTTATTGCAGCTGTGGGTCAAATGATTTCAGTTGAGGAAGTATAATCATGATAACAGGGCTGGCTGCCAAGGGCTGCACAAGGCATCCTTTGAAAAGTGACAGCTGCTGCTTTCAAGAAAGAATTCCTGGTGGTATTCTCCCCCCCACCCCACCCCCAAGGTATTGCTGCACCTTCTGGGTTCTGCTGTGATCACAGCACCTGTAAATAAAAGCTCATGGGCAAGGACATCACATAGGAACTTTTGCTTTAGCCTGTGAGTAGTTGAGCTGACTGCATGGACCCTGGAGTCAGTACTCTGCTACACATTGGGCTCTAACTAAAAGCTGGCTTCTAACAAAATCGCTGCTATTTGGGGTAGTAATGCAGAGGCCTGAAAAGCGGAAAATGCCTTTTGGAAGTCTTCACTTTGTTGTACATTCCGGATAGTTTTGTTCATTCTTCTTTGTGTTTAATGTTCACAATAATGTTCAAGGCAATGACTCTTGTTTGTCCATTTTTAAAGTAAGAAACTGGAATCAACAGAATGGTTTAGGCTACTAAAGGGTGGAACCAGGACTCTTCCAGCCTCCACAAAGGACCTCACACTGAAAGGCTGACAGGGGACAAAGGTCCGCCAGTGCCCAGGGAAGCTTCTGCAGACATGCTGAAGTCTCACAGTCATGGCTGAATCATATCAGGACAGTGGTTAAGGTAGTAAGAACCAAGTGACAGTATCTGGTCCTTCATCTACAACATCAATCCTCCCATCCCTAGAGCATGTATAAGGACTATTAACAATGTCCTCAAATTATTGTTTTTCCAAACACTATCAACTTTTTATTCTTTAAAAATATTTATTTATGGGGCTGGAGAGATGGCACTGGCTGCTCTTCCAGAGGTCCTGAGTTCAATTTCCAGTAACCACATGATGCCCTCTTCTGGTCTGCAGGCCTACATGCAGGCAGAACACTGTGTATATAATAAATACATAAATCTTTAAAAAATATTTATTTAGAGCATATGTGTTTAGTATATTTACCTAGTAAGAGATTACAGTTTTATGTCTATACAAACAGCTTTTTTCCCCCTGTGGGTTTTAATCTATAATCTTACATCTTAGGTCCAGCAAGTTGAGTCATTTCTAAATTGTAACAATTCTAGTAATTTATTTACAGATCCCTTTAAAAACAAAACAAAAAACCCCAACAAAATAAACTTTTTCTTTTTCATTGTCTATTCTTTCCCCAGAGTGGGAATGCTACTACTTTTACCTAATTCTTAGTAAAGAAAGCAAGCTGACAGTTCAATTGGCTAGGCAGTATAGGCACTCTACAATCCAGTGAACTTAGCAGACTCAGAGAGGTTATCTTATTATCTTACAAAACAGACTAAAACTAATTGGAAGAGAGAGAGAGACATGTCATTTTAATCAAAGGGACAGTTAACCAAGAAGATGTTACTATCTTAAACATATACACCAAACTTTGGAGAACACAATTTCATAAAACAAAACAAACAAAAAACTACTACTACTGGATTTAAAGACAGATCAATCCAATAATAGTAAGGAATTTTAATACCCCACTTTCTCCAGTAGATAGGTCGTCTGAACAAAAACTAAACAGAGAAACACCAGAATTAATTATATCAGACATCAACCTATACAACATTCCAACCAAATATCAAAGAATGTACCTTCTACTCAGTAGAACATAGGAACTTGCCTGAACTGGACCACATCCTGGGACACAAAGTAAATCTTTAAAAATTAAAAAAAAAATTGAAATCACTCCTTGTATTCTATCTTTAAAAATTAAAAAAAAAATTGAAATCACTCCTTGTATTCTATCTACCACAAAGCAGCAAAGCTTAAAAATCACCACAAACAAATCTAGTGAATACACAGACTCATGGAGATTAAACAGCACATTACTGAGTGATGAATGAGCCTAAGAAAAAAATTCAGAAGAAAATAAAAAATTTCCTAGAACTAAGTAAAATTAAAACACAACACAACAAAACCTCAGGTATAAAGTGAAAACAGTCTTATGAGGGGAAATTTATAGCTCTAAGTGACTATATTATCAGGAAGAGCATAAATAAATGATTTAATGATACACTCAAAAATTTGGAAAAACAAGAACAAATCAAATCCAAACCCAATCAATGGGGAGAAAAAAAATCACAGTATGAATCAATGAAATAGAAACAACAATAGCAAATAATACAAAGAATCAACAAATCTAAGAGCTTTTTTTGAGATAATAAACAAGAAGATTGATATACCCTTAGTCCAACTAACCAAAAGAAATAGAGGACCCAAATTAACAAAATCAGAAATATACATGGAAATTTTACAACAGACACCAAAGAAATTCAGAATATTATAAGGGAATATTTTTAGAAATCTGTTTGACATTAAACTATTTTTGAAAACCTGAAAAAGAAAAACCCAAAAGGATGAATTTCTAGATTCAGCCAAATTAAACCAAGAACTCGACAATCTAAACACACCCATAGGAAATAAGGAAATTGAAATAATAACAAGAAGCCTTTCAGTTAAAAATCAAATCAAATCAATGCAAAAACAAGAAAAACAGGGCCAGATGGATTCACAGCAGAATTCTAGAGACTTTCAAAGTTCAATAGCCAAGCCTTCTTAAACTATTCTAAAGATAGAAACATTAAGGTGCACTCCCAAGCTCAAGCTCTTCCTATGAAATCAATATCACTTGAATACCAAAACCAGAAAAAAGACACACACACACACACACACACACACACACACAAACACACACACACACAGAGAGAGAGACAGAGACAGAGAGAGAGAGAGAGAGAGAGAGAGAGAGAGAGAGAGAGAGAATTACAGGCCAATATCCCCAATGAATATAGACTCAAAAATGCTCCAGTACAGACATACCTCAAAAAGATTATCCACCATGACTAAGTTGGCTTTATCCCTGAAGCATATATATGTCAATAAATGTAATAAACAACATAAATCGACAATAACAAAACCAAATGACATTCTCAATAGATGTAGAAAAAAAGCCTTTGACAAGATCCAACATACCTTCATGATAATACTCCTGGAGAATGTAGGGCTAAAGGAATCATACCTCAACATAATAAAAGCTACACATGAGAAACTCACAGCCAATGTCATCATAAATGGGAAAAGCTTGAAGCAATCCTAGTGAAGTCAGGAATGAGGCAGGAATGTCTACTATTCCAATTCCTTCTCAATAATGTGCTTGAAGCACTGGCTGGAACAAAAAGGCAAGAGAAGGAAATTAAAGGGATACAGATAGGGAAAAAATAAACTATTCCTATTACAGATGACATGATATTATGCATTACCCATCCCCAAAATTCTACAAGCAAACTTCTAGAAATGATAAATAAATTCAGCAATGTGGCAAGATACAGAATCAATTTGCACAAATCAATAGCTTTTTTATATAGTAACAGCAAACATAAAGAGTGAAGGTCATGGACACACTCCCATCCACAAGACCCTGAAAGAAAAGAAAATATCTATGATTAAGTTTAACCAAGTAGGTGAAGGATTTCTACAATGAAAACTTTAAGCTGCTGAAGAAAGAGATAGGAAAAGACACTAGAACATGGAAAGAAATCCCAATGCTCACAGGTTGGTAGAATTAATATTTTGAAAATGAGCATTCTAGCAAAAGCTATTTATTGATCCAATACAGTCCCAAACAAATCCCCATTCCATTCTTCACAGAGAAAAAACAAACAAACAAAAAAGAAAAAAAAAAACTATCCTAAAATTCATATGGAACACAAAGGTTCTTCTGGATAGCCAAAAAAAAAACCAATCCTGAGCAAAAAGACCAATGTAAAAAGGAGTGCATCCAGATGTGAAGACTACATTACAGGGTTATAATAATAGAAACTATCCAGCACTGGCATAGAAACAGACATGCAGACTAATCAAATAAAATCAAAGACCCAAGCATAACAAAAGCTGGAAAAAAGAACTCTTCAACAGGTGGTGCTGGGAAAACTGGATTCCACATGTAGAAGAATAAAATTAGACAAAACTATATGGATCAAAGACCTAAACCTGGAACACTGAAAATGCTAGAAAAACAAAACAAAACAAAACAGGTGGTACCCTACATGATTTTCTGAACAGGACTCCATTTGCCCAAGAACTAAGTCTAATATCTGACAAGTGGGACTTCATAAAAGCTAAAAAGCTTCTGTACAGCTAAAGAAATGGTCAGCTGAGTGAAGAGGATGCCCATAGAATGGGAGAGAACCTTTGCCAGTTACACATCTGACAGAGGATTGATATGCAAAATACATATAGAACTCAAAAAAAGACAAAGAATCAAGAAGACAAATTGTTTTAGTCAGTTCTGATACTGCGAAGAGGCAGGACAAAGGCAACTTTATGAAAGGAAGGATTTGATTGGGGCCTTTCTTAAAATTTCATAGGTTTAGTCCCCATTATAGTGGGAGCCTGGCAGCAAGCAGGCAGGTGTTGGGGTAATAGCTGAGGTCAGAGAGAGAGAGAGAGAGAGAGAGAGAGAGAGAGAGAGAGAGAGAGAGAGAGAGAGAGAGAGAGAGAGAGAGAGAGAGCTTAGGTTTGGCATGGGCTTTTAAAACCTTAAAGCCTACCCCCAGTGACACACTCCCATCAATAGCCCTCTAGTCCTTTTAAAGAGTGCCATTCCCTGGTAACTAAGCCTTCAAACATAAGAGCCTATGTGAGCCATTCTTATTCAAACCACCATACAAGTGACCTATTCAAAGAATGGGCCAGGGACCTGAGCAGTGATGTTTGAAAATGAAGCAAACTTTGACTAGGAAACACCTTAAAGGAATGTTCATCATTCCTAGCAATTAGGGAACTGCAAGTGAAAACAACTTTAAGATTTCATCCTACTTCAGTCAGAATGGCAAGGACCACCAGAAGACCTGGCAACAACGCTGGGGGGGGGGAGGATGCAGGGGGGATGCAGGGGGGGATGCAGGGGGGATGCAGGGAGGATGCAGGGGGGAGTGCAGCGGAAAGGGAACCCTCATTCACTATCAGTGGATTGCAAACTGGTGCAGCCACTGTGGAAACTGGAGTGGAGAATTCACAAAAAAAAAAAAAAAAAATCCAAAACAACTAAACTATTTAAAAATAGAAAGAAAAATTTAACAATATCTAAATATAAACAAAGAGGCTCTCAGCCTGGTTGAGTCAGGATCTTTGTATCTACTAAATCAGATTAGCTGAGCGAGAGGTCTAGAAATTCATATTGTAAAGAATTTGCCTGTTATTTGTTATTCTCATGGCCTTCCTTCACTGGTACAGTTTCATACAAAGAGCATTTCAGTTGTGGGTGGAGGAGGGCAGCAATGCCTTGTAGGGATAGATCAACCTACCATTCAAACAAAGCCCAGTACACAGTAAGTTTCACACCCGTATCTTGAACTACACTTCAGAAGACATGGTCAGTGTTGGCAAGCGTCAGTCAAGGACATTCAACCTCATCAGACCAGGGGGGAGGTAAGGGTGTACGAGGAGCTAAATGTTAGATTCCTGGACTCTGATCTACACCTACTGGAAGAAAATCATGGAGGTGAAGCTGATGATGCAAACATATGTATGTCTATTTCTACACGCACACACACACACACACACACACTCATGCATGCATGCACACTTTTTTTTTTCCCCTGGAGATTGATGCCTAGTCCTTATACTTGCTAAGCAAGTACTTTGCCACACAGTAGCCCCCCAACTCCCCCAAATATGTGTGTGTGTGTATATATATATATATATATACATATTTGTGTGTATATCTATAGTTTGTGTGATATGTGTAGTATACAGGTATACATGTACCTATGTACACACACAGAGGCCAGAGGAGGACATTGGGTGCCCTGACTTATCATTCTCTGCCATGTGGCTGTTTTACATATGGATGTTAGTCACCCTTGTGCAGCAAGCATGTATTTTCAGTAAGCACCCTAGAAGACCATACTTCACACTGATGTCTGAGCCTCTGAGTCACATGGTATAATTGCAGGTCTGGCACTAGCCAGACACAGTGTTGGGAAATACAAACCACAATGTTCCTCAATTGCTTTGTGTAAGGAGTAAATGTGGTCATCTCCTACACACTCCTGAGTCCCCCACCCCCAACACTCCAGGTAGAACTGTACCTTTTTTGCAGCACTGTAGATCTCATCCTTCTTGCTGCAGTCCACCACAAAGGGATAGGCCTGGGCACCCAGTTCCCTGCACTTCGCAGCTGTCTCCTCAATGCCATTCTAGAAAAAGCCCCAAAGAGAGCAAGAGAACTGTGTCAATGATGGGAACACATCCTATAAAAGCTGGCTGAGGATCAAGCAGGAAGAAAGAATATTAAAACACAAGGTGGGGTATCTAGAATCTGATCAGAAAACAAAAGGAGCAAAGGCACTCCCTAAGTCAGCTTGCAAGGCCAACATTAGCTTATTTGAAAAACTAGACAAAAGCTTGTTATCCAAAATACACAGAGAATTCCTAAAAATAGCCTATTAAAAAAATAACAAATACCTCACCAAAAAAAAAAAAAAAACACAGATAATAAATAAATAAGCATGTGAGAAATGGCCTATGGAATCAGAACGGTAAGTAATACATTATTTGTAAATAACATAAATGTGTTCAATTTTTTCTGGGCAAAGTTCTCAAACTAAAGATCTCATATGATGAGCTGGCATGAAACAAGAACCTTAAACTAAGGCTTTGTTTTTCTTTTTATATTTGTAATCTGAGAAGTATAAATAAAATTTAAAAAATGCAAGGTAGGTTATTTAAATAGCTAAACCTTATAAGCTCACTAGTCTTCAATGATTTGGACACAACCTATGCTAGCACACCTGGTCATTGAAACGTCCACACTCTGTCAAGTGTTACACCCGCTGTCCTCCTTCACTCCCTCCTTCCATGCCCCCTCTCCAGACTCCTCGACCCAGTAATCAGAGGATCCCTCAGTAGAAGACACCTCCAAACTCGTGGCTGCCTCCAGAGGCAAAACCAAAGTATACACAGTAGATCCCAGGACACCACAAACAGGGGCTCCTGGCCTTAGGTCTCCAAAAATGTAACAAGTTACATTCCTCTTTTTATGTTTTTAGTAGCATATTACAAAAATAAAATTTAAACTAGCAGAATATTGTTTTTGGTTAAGGAACAATTTGTTTCTCTGATACATTCAATTAGAGTTTTCCCCTAAGTATTTGTACTAAAATATATCGTAGCCAAATGTCAAAACAGGACAGCATCCTGACAGTAAAAGCATCTGATCAATTAAATCATAGGGATACGAAAGTAAGTCAGAAAGATCACTTCTGAATCAGCTGCACCCCACACTTCAGCCAGCATACAAAGAAAGACAAGCTACTTTCTGTGTGTGTACGTGCATACATGCATTGTACAGGTGTGTATGTATTCACACATGTACATGCATTGCATGAACAGTTACTTGTGCACATGGATTGTATGAATGTGTATGCATTCATGTGTATGGCATATGTACATATTCACATGTGCACATGGATTGTACAGATGTGTATGCATTAATGTGTATGATGTATGTGTACATACACATATTCATGTGTGCACACTTGTGTGAGTGATATTCATGCACGTGGAAGCCAGAAGTCAACAATTTCTTTTAATAATTTTCCACTTTAGTCTTTTGAAACATTGAGCGTGGAGGTCACCAAGTCTTCTAGGTTGGCTTGCCAGCAAAGTCCACAGGTCCTCCAGGCTTCCCACTAAGTGACAGTCCTTATAGGCCCTGGCCCTTGCACTTGGATTTTTAAATGGACACTTCAGTCCCAAACTTGGTTTCTTATGCACTTTATCAACCATGTTATCTCTCCAGAGTTTCTCTCTCATAGTCTTGCACTTATCTGTGTATTTGTTGCCACAGAATTCCATGTTTTTGTTGCATATATTTGGATTGTGAAAATTAACCTCTGTATGTTATAAAGCATGGAGAGGCTGAATTAAAACATTATGTGCAGCCCATAGGTCAGAATGTATGATAGAAGCAGATAAAGCAGTGTGAAGTATCTCCAACTCCATTCTTTGACTCACATAGGGACATTGTTCCACTCCACCCTTTTATTTAATCTAGTTTACCCATCAAACTATTGCCATTTAAACAACACCAATATTCTACATTCCTCTTTTCATACCAAATGTTAGGAATCAGGTGGGTTATTCACAAAGAGCTCCTCTCGATTTAGACCAAGAATATTTAAAAACTGAACAGCTGTGAGGGATGAGTGCCTTTTAACCTACATTAACAGCTCAGACCTTTTCTTCTCTTCACTCGGTTCCAGGCTTAGCTGAGCCCTGTTAAGACAACTGTCTCCTTATGTTTGTGTGTGTTGGTGCTGGGGACTGAGCCTGAGCCTTGTGCATGCCAAGAAAGTGCTGTAACACCAAACTACAACCCCAGCCCCTCTGGTCTCCATCTACCGAGGTCTTCCTTCCATGGCCACCTGTCTTTTCCACTCAGGGTCCCATGTTTATTCCTTTCTTTCTATTTAATGCCACCCAATTGTACATTTTATTGTTCAGTTTGCTTGTTGTTTGTCTTTAGCTCACAAAGGCTATTTTCATCACTATGGTATCTGCAATTCTATACTAGACCACTGTCCAGCAGATAGTGTGTCAATAAGCACCCACTGGATAAATTTCTGAAAAGTTTGTGATCACCAATACTAGAGCCTGGAAGTCATCATCCCAACTCACTCTTTGTTAAAAAATAAAATTTCACACTAGTTTGCTTGCCATCTGCTAGACACATGGCCAAATTATCTCATGCATTGACTTCTCTTCTCCCTAGCCTTGTAAGTTTATTTTATAGATCTGTGCAAGAAAACTAAAGGCCTGGGAAGTCAAGTTTCTCAACTAAGAAGCAAAGAGCCCATGATGCATCTGAACATATTACCATTCTGGCCCTGTTTGTATCTTTCATTGTGTAAATATCTAATATCTGTTTTCTCCACCAGATTGCAGGACCCCATCTCCTATTTGCCACCTGGTCATAACATCTAGGCAAGTAGATACTCCTGGAGAACTGGTTGCCTGCTGCCTCAACCACTCCTGAGTTAACTCTAAGACCTCATGAACCTTGGCTTCTTGTTTACAGGACTGGATGTGTACACAGTGCAATTAATGGCACACCAGGCCAACAGGTGCCTTCAAATACCCCTGTGTGCATCTACCAAAAGCCAAATCACAGCTTGACCATCAGGTCCTCTTAACTTCCCTCACACGCCTCTAACTGCAGGTCCAGGGGAAATCACATGGAACTCCTTTCTCTTTTGTTTGTTTGTTTGTTTTTTACAAGGTAACTTAAATCAGTCACTATACCAGTGTAATGGTGACTTCTGTAGGGTGTCATTTTTAATTCATCTCAGTAACTGCAAAAGAGACTTACCAGCTACACAGTTCTGACTCTTAGAATACATCCTAAAACTGCTACAGTATCTAAAAGCTTGTGAGGGTCAGTAGGGGCAGATTACAGGCGATTTACATTGTTAATGCAGTATGATAGGAGGTAACCAAGGTTCTTATCACCCATAGGTCCGTTCATTGTGTGGTCTTACAGATATCAATTCATGCCTCTCCCGAAATATGAAAAAATATCAAAAGTAACTGAAAGCTCTAGTTCTTTACAGAGAGCTGTAAGGGGTGGTTGTTTTCGAGGTATGGACCCGTCCCCAGAGCGAAGCTCCGCATAGCAAAGGCAGCGAGGGAGCGCTGTTACCTTATTGATATCCCAGAGAACCAATTTGGTATTAAGTTTGGCAAATTCGTAGGCAGTCAGTCTTCCAATTCCATGACCAGCTCCAGTGATCAGGACAAGTTCTCCGGCGACTGATTTTTTCTTCTTGGGAATAAAAAGCTTGACGAAAGACTCAATGCAGAAGACGATGAGCAAGGGCAGCATCAGGATGAAGTCAAGCAGGTACTTCATCCTTCCGGCTACCCAGCGTTCTCTCTCTCGTCCCTTGTCTTAAACTGCTTCTGGAGGTCTGCTGGTCAGAGGGTCAGAACTCTGCCAGAGCAAGACAGAGTTCCTCGTCAAAGAGAAACAAACAACTCTGAAACCGTTCCTTCCGCGGGGCCGGGCTTCAGGAGGGTTTTTGCCATTGGCTCGGGCTACGGTCCGAGCAACTGCTCGCTGGTTGCAATATCTGGGAGGGACGAAGTCCAGACGCAAGCCCTAGGGCGGTGCGACCCTGTCAGCTTTTCACCTACTTCCTCCTAACAGGGGTAGGTACTGCGCGCCCTCCTCAATTGGAAAAAAAAAAAAAAAAAAAATCTGTTTCTGCAGCAGACCTTGGAGAGGTAGTTACCTAGTGCTGTAAAGGATGAGTGGCAGTGTCTGCAGCTTGTCTGCTACTGCGGACAGTCGCCGGAATCTGCATAAGGGTTGCAGAAAATGTGGAACCACATCTCAAAGGACCAGGAAGCAAGGACGGGGACTCTTGGGGGAAAGGAAGAGGAAAGGGAGGAGGGCTGTGGGGGAGGGGCGAATAAGAACAAATAATAAGAAGCATGTGTGTAAAAATATCACAAAATCCATTTCTTTGCACGCTAACCAAAAATTAATAATAAAACAAACAAACAAACCAAAGCACAAAGGGAAAAGCCAGTTGCTCTGCTCTTGATTTAGAAACGACCCTGCACTGCATTTTAATTTGAATTAAGCAGTTTCTCGAGGGCAGAGGAGGCTATGTCCTCTCAAGGCACTACCAAGTTTTAGGAAAGGCTTGCAGTAAACTCATTTCCTCAGGGAAGAGCAGTGTAGCTGGCAACCCTCTCCCACTTGGACTCGAGAATCTGGAGACAAGAAACAAAGTGTATACTCAAGGATGGTGATCTTTTCTTTAAATATATTGTTATATGTGTATGGGCCGTTTGCCTGTGTGCTCATGGTGCAGGTAGAGGCCAGATGAGGGTGCGGGATCCTTTAGAACTGGAGTTACTGAGAGCTGGGGGCCTGCAAGTAGGCACTGGGAATTGAACCCTAGTCCTCTGGAAGAACAGCCAGTGCTTTTAATGACACAGCCACACTGTCTCTCCAGCATTCCCCTCCACCATACCACTTTTTGACACTCTGGCTGGCTTGGAACTCTTTTCCTCAAGTTGTTTTGAGTCAATGCTTCCACAGCAGTAGAAGCATGCTAACAGCTTGTCTGTTGAGTGGTTGACTCCCTCACTCTTAATAAAGGTTCCCAACAGCCAGTTCTTGGTTTATGAGCCATAAACATTAGCAGCTGACTTTTCTCCTGTGACAGTTGAGGATGTGGCTTGCTTAATTTTCACCTTACTCCCTCCTATCATCCCAATATAACTATCTCTCCCTTTTCTACTTCTGTTAGATTTTATTTGCCACTTTAAGGAACAAACTTCTTTTTCTGCCTTGTTCCAGCAACAGCTATTGTGGAGAAACAAGCTACAGCTGTTTTTGAGAAAGAAAACGCCCAGTTCTTCTCCTGGAGTGCATTTCTAATTCCTAGTTTCTGCCTTTTGTATGTAGGTTTACGTTGGTTCCATTGTCAGGACTGATCATATTTACTTTCTGTCTTGTATCTATTACATTTGTTCCTTTTGCCTGTTGATTCTGAAAACTGAAAGTAATGTTTACATTCTTGTAAATCAGCTTTGCTTGGTGTGGCTCCACTTAGTGGGATGACTGCCCAGGACAGAGCAGAGCAGGCAAAAACAGTGTCCCCTGGAAATGACCAACACCATGCAGATCCTGCTGGCCTCCTTTAGAGCCCAAGCAATCTGTTGAAGCCGATCTTCTGCGGGGAGGCTGGAATTTTGGCTTTCACAGGACATAGTGGCACCTGCATGTGATCCCAGCATTTGGAGGTAAAGGCAGGAGGGTCCAAGATTCCATGTTAGCTTGAGCTATATATAAAAGATATGGTTAGCTGGGCATGGTGGGGCATGTCCTTAAGTCCAGCACTTGGTGGGGGGCTGAGGCAGGGATCTCTGTGAATTCAGGGCCAACCTGGTATACAGAGCAAGTTCCAGGACAGCCAGACCAATGTAAATCAACCCTGTCTCAAAATAAACAAACAAAAATCCCCCCAAACACCCAAATACATAAATAAAAATAAAGGAGACTGTTTTTGTCACTTTCTAGTTGGATGAAATTGAAAAAAGCATTTATGTCTCTTTTCTTTACCCTTAAATAGGGATATTAATAGCTACCTTCCAGGGTTGTCAGGTAGATTAAAAGTATTTATGAAATGTTCACAATAATGACTGGTAAATTTTAAATGCTTTATGAATTTTAAAAAAAAAAACAAGCCCTTGGGGGGACAATTTGGAAAGATTAGACACATTCTTATTTAAAATGCTATTATGTCTGCTGTCTTCCTCACAGGGACAGTCATTGAACGTTGTCATCTCAAGAGTTTGATTATGTTAGGACATGAAGGTTTGGCCCCTCATTCTCACTCCCACCCCCAGTCATAGAAAATTCATCACTAGCCCCAACCAAGACTGTGGGCTGAGGATCAAAGGGCCTTTAGGCTTGGCAAATGCGCTGAGCCACGCCCAGAGCCCAGATGTCAATCTCAGGTTCTTTTCAAGAGGTGGATAAATGCTAAAATATCGAGGAAGATTGTGCAGAATGCCACTTCCTCCTAACCCATAAACCACGACAGCCCCATGCTGTCGACTACTGACAGCTGTTCATGGAAAACAGGTGTAAGAGATTCATCCCTTTGGCTCCCGCTCACTCAGTTTCAGGTCAAAAGGCTTTCTTGTGGTTGCTTCAGTTCTGGGGACCAGTCCTACTCAAAGCAAAGGGAAAAGTGACCTCTGGATACAGGGCAAAGGGACAGAGATAGAGAAAGTGCAGGGGGAGGGAATGGGGGAGTTCTTTATCACACTTTAGAGCCAGGAATGGCTGAAGCAGCACACCAGAAAAACCAGAGATAGCAGCATCCACTGAGAGGCTCTCAGGATTGTGCTTCACTGACTGACCTTTGCATTCCTTGGGATTTCTCCAGATGTTAGCTGTGTTTTTTAGGTATTTAAATGCAAATATTCCCATTTGCTCTGGAATTGACCAAAGGCTCAGATTCTCTAAAATGTGGGGGGTTTGTTGCATGTTTCCCATCAGGTTCCGAGTTTCCAGACTTTAGAAGGTGGAGCTAAGCTCTGTATTATATAGCACACTGCACATCACGATGCAAACACTTCTACCAGAAAGATCATCCTAGAAAGTCAGACAATATTTCAATGACTTATTCAAGTCCAGAATTCACCTACTGAAAAACATAATGTTATGGAATCTCCTTGTTTAATTTTTGTTCTTTACTGAAATCCAAAATTAAAAATGTGGCTATTGAAAACAAGAAAGGAACTTTGCCTGAAACGAAAGAATTGAAGAAAATGTACTTACTGTAGTGCTGAAACCTGGGAGGACTCTTCCTCTTCATCACTCTGAAAACAAGCCAATGTGTTTAGTGTCTTTATTCTTCTTACACCCCCCACCCAAAGAGGACAACTGTTGTTTCTTTCTAACCCAGTTCAATAAGGGTTAATCAAATTCTTCATGAAAGGTAGCTTGAGGACAAGTACAGAGTAATATCTCTCTTTAGTAGCTCGTGGTCTCAGAGCCAGGACACTTGTCCTGGAGGAAAGGAAACTAGGATATCTGAATAGAAATTAAAGCAACTAGGAGAAAGAGAGGGAGAGAGAGGGGTGGAGAGCTGAGGCAAGGAGGAAGGGAAAGGGAGAGAGACAGAGAGACAGGGAGGGGTGGGGAGCAGCACTGTGTTAGTCCAGGTGAAGAGAGGTTTTGTTTTAAAATGGTCTTATTTTGTTCAAGATCATTAAATACTTTAATCTACTCAATATTATTAAGATAGCTTGTGGGGCTGGAGGGACTGCTCAGCTGTTGAAAGCACCAGTTGTCATAGTACCCACAGGGTGGCCCCAGTTCTAGGACATCAGAGGTCTTCTGCTCTCTACAGACACTGCTCACACATGGTATACAAACATGCATGCAGGCAAAACACCCATACAGACTTTTTTAAAAAAAAAACTACCTGTTTTATCTACAACAAAGATAACTAAAGGAATTTTAGCCAATTGGGAATGAAAGTGTACTAATATTCCAATGTAGCATTTTTAAAAAATTTTGCTCTGACATCTATTAAGTTAGGGAATCGATTTTATTGCCAAATAAATGTAAATTATACTAGTATTTTAAAAATCAAATATATTTATAGGATATTTACATCAAATATCCCAAGGTATTGATTGGTAAGTTTTGCTGCAACTTTCATCATTTTTTTTTTCTGATAAGAGCAATTCTGTGTATACCCATTGTGGTGTTGACTTTTGAAACAAGAGTACAGTTGGTATAAATTCTGGGGCTTGGTGCTGGAGGTTCAATCTTAGCTCATTTACTTATTATCTGTGACTCAAGGCAAGTTTTATTATGATTTTTGGCTTTTGCTTACTCATAAATGAGACGAAGATATAGTACTAGCTTTATTGGAATGAATTGAGATACTTGCAAAATGCTCAGAGTAGGGCTTGTTACATGACAAGCTGTGTTCACATGACCAAGAGCTTCAAGCAAAGAATTCTGGGAGTCATTCTAGCTGGGTCTGAGTAAACTCTAGTACTTCAGAATTTGAGAAGAGCCACTTGGTTGTTTATCATTTTAGGTTGAAGACATGGTCTACAATATAGCCCTGGCTGTTGGTACCCTTTAAAGAAGGTACAAGGAACAGATAATGAACAAACAAGGAAAAAATGTTTCTGAGAGAAATTAAATAAAACTCGATTCCCAAAGAAACAGTTCTGGCAGATTAAATGACTTATCTAAGAAAATGCTGCCTCCCGGGAGCATTCAATGCACAGCATTTTAAAAAGCAGCTCTGTCAAGTAACCATAGCATTACCTGTAAAGTATACAGCTCTGTGGATTTTAGAATGCCTTCGGAGTTGTGTGATCATCATTACAAATCAGATTAAATTCTCACCCTTTCACAA